TCTATAAAAATTATATATTTTCTATAAAAATTTAGTTGATGATAGAAAAATATTCCTTTAAACACTATTGAATTTTTTATATTTACATATTCAGTAAAATTTTAAAATTTTCAATCAATTAAAAATAAAGTCTAATAATATTTTATATGAAGATTGTAAAATAAAAGGAATGTCATATAACTTTATCTTCTCCATATAACTTAGATATTGAACATGTTTTCCTCTTCGTCACCTGACTTCTTCAAACACTTGATTTGATTGTCTTTCTATGTCATCTTTGTAAAAAATCTAATGATCAAAGCATAATTAGGCTGACACTACTGCTTGAAGCGAGATTACATATGTTCAAGCTAACATTTTCGTAGTTCCACTCCATCATAACAAAAAGAATTGCAGAAATAAATTTTTGTATTACGTAAAACAGAACATAATGTTCTCTTAAAAATAATAAATATACACACACACACATATATATATATACACACGTAAACAATTAGAAAAATAGCAGGTAATTAAGTTTCATATGTTAGATAGTAGGGAAGTTATATTGGAGATAATGAGTAGTTAATTTAGAAAGAAGTTTAATTTGTTTTTTTATTTTATTTTTATAAATGAAACAATATTATTTTATATAAAAAAGTAAAAATAAAAATAATTTAAAAATAAAATGGACACGTGTCAGACTGACAATTACCAACTGACTTGTACTTTATAAGTATAAAGATTTAAAAATAAAATGGACATGTGTCAGACTGACAATTGCCAATTGACTTGTGCTTTAGAGCATCTCCAACCTTACTCCATTTTCAACTCCAAATGCTATTTTGGAATAAAATTCTCTCTAACCCTACTTCATTTTCAACTCCAAAATGGAGTAAACCTAAATTATACTCCATATTTGGAGTAGATATAAACTCTACTCTATTTTGGAGTTAAACTTTTTTATTTGCAAATTAATACTTTAGATATAAAATAATTATATTTTAAACTATTTAATATTTATAAAAAAATATTATAAAACTGATAATTATGAATATTTAAACATTGAAATTATTCCTAAAAATTACAATATATAATAAACTTTAAAAATACATAATAAATGCTGAAATTAAGATAAACAATATAAATAAATTTAAGACACCAAATACAAAAGACATTAATGATAAATTTTTAGTAATAATGATGTTTAAATAAAATTTGCATATGCATTTTTGTGATGTTATGTAATTTTTATTATTTGATAAATATTTAAGTTATAGCTTTTGAAAAAAATTGTAAAATATAAAATAAGTGTGATTTATTTGTAAATTTTATAACTAAAAAGTATTTATAATAAAATTGAATAAGAATTTATTTAGAATATTTTTTTTGAAGTAAAAAATAAAGAAATACATTAGAGCAAAACGCAATTCTATTTTGAAGTTACTCTATTTTAAAGTAGAAAACGAAGAAATACATTGGAGATGATGTTATAAATATAAAGATGTCGGTCAGATTCAAACTCTTATTTAATTTCCCCCACGTGTAGAGTTTGGGAAAATACTCATTTTATTCCTCAACTATTTGCAATTGGTGATTTTAATCACCAAGTATTACTTACGCAGAATAATTTCCTACACTGCAGTTGACTTTGTAAAATTGGGATTTAAATAGTCAGACGTTAACTCCAAAACAGAGTCCGTTAAAAATAATTCTTTTCTCATCGGAAGTTTCTACTCTAACCCAAAATTGAAAACCAAAAACGGAGTCCAGCTTTTACAATCCTGAAGCTTTTCAAGCTTTAACAATGGTGAAAACTATGTGAGAGAAGGAGGGAGACGGAAACTTCCAATTCGAAGGGATACAGAGCCAGAACCAGCAGAAGAAACCGATCCTGCACCAGAAATCCATCCTCCAGAAGAAATCGATTCTGCACCAAAAATCAATCCTGCAGAAGAAATCGATCCTCAACCTGAAATCATACTTCAACCCGAAATCAACCCTGTTCAGGAAAGGTAATGTCGAATTTTAGCTTCTGATTATTGAAAATTTAGAATTTAACTTTTTATTTTTGGGAATGTCAAACTCACCTTATGATTTTTGGAAAACTTTGTTTGCTGGTTTGTAGGATAAATGATGATGAAGTAAATATAGAAGAAAGAACTAACGTCCGTTTAGAAGAAAGATATATTATTGGCGAAGAAGAGAAAGATACTAGTGGTGAAGAAGAGACAGTGGAATCAAACGATAATGCATCAGTCCAAGAAGATGATTGCCCTGTTATTAATGAAGATGCGGCTGGATATAGAGAGGCTGAGCCAGGATTAGCTGAAAATTCAGAGTTGGGTAATGATAATGCATTTGTGAATGTTGAAATATGTGATGATGATGTTTTGTTTTCACATTTTCGAGATGCTGGTTGTGAAGATGAAGTTGGAGATAATGATGATAGTGATGATGATATTTGGAATGATGATATCATTCCTGATCCATTTTTAGATAATGATGGCGAGGAATTAGAGGGTATGCAATTCAATTGTCGGCCGGATGAGATCTTAGCACTAGGGAAGTGCTTCAACAATGCTGATGAATTCAAGTATGCACTCCTCACATATTCTCTAAAAACTCAGTAATATATCAAAATATATAAGTCATCTAGTGATAGACTTGGTGCAAAGTGCACACAACATATTGAAGAAGAGTGTCCTTGGAGAGTGTATTGTTCTTTTGAAAAGAGCATGAACAAGTTGATGATAAAAGTCTTTGTAGATGAGCATATTTGTGTAAGGTCGGGAACCACAGTGTTATTGAAGAGTGGTACCATTGCTCAACTATTTGAAGAAAGGCTGAGAGTTAATCCAAAGATCAAGTCGCAAGAGATGGTCGATGAAATCAAGAGAGAGTACAATATGATTGTCAGTGTGCATCAGTGTAGAAGAGCAAAGACTGTGCTTAGAGCTAAAAGAAAGGCTACTCATGAATTTTATTTTGCTAGACTTTGGGATTATCAGGAAGAAGTAAGAACATCTAACCGATGTTCAACAATGGAGATTGAGACGATTCCCGGGCCAGTGCCTGGAAGCAAACTTGCAGTGTTGAAAGTTGTTTGGAAGCAATCATGCAGGCCTATAATTGGATTAGATGCAGCTTTTATGAAATAGGATATCAAAGGCCAAATGTTAGGCGCTGTTGGTAGAGATGGTGATAATAGAATCTTTCCTATTGCTTGGGCCGTGGTTGAGGTGGAAGATGGTCCTAACTGGTTGTGGTTTGTGCAACTTTTGAAAAAAGATTTGGGTCTTGAAGATGGAGATAACATTACAATTATCTCGGATAAACATCAGGTGTGTGTTACAAGTGTGTTTTTTAGCGTTAATTTGTTTATCATAGTTTCTTATTTTGTTTGATTCATGTGACAGGGTTTACTAAGCTTTGTTCACGTTGAGCTTCCTAAAGCTGAGCATAGAATGTGTGTCGACACATTCTACAAAACTGGAAGAAGACAAACAAGGAAATAGAGCTTGAGCGTATGTTCTGTAAAATTGCAAGGAGCTATACACCTGAGGCATTTGGGGATAACTTAGAATCATTGAAGAAATACAACTTAGGTGCTTATGATTCTCTCTAATGTACTGCACCAACAACATGGTCTCGGGCTTTCTTCAAGGTAGGATCTTGTTGCAATGACAATCTCAACAATTTGTCTGAATCTTTCAATCGTAATGTCAAAGAGTCAAGGAGGAAGTCATTACTTGATTTCTTGACTGAGGTGAGAAGGAAAGTAATGGATAGGAATGCAAATAGAAACATGTTAACCAAAAGGTGGAAGAAAAGATTCACACCAAGAGCAGACAAAAAGATTAAAAGCAATCGACAAAAAGCTAAGGATTGCAAAAGATACAGAACGACAGGAAATATGCATGAGATCGACTTTCATGGAGATGCTTGGAGGGTTGATATGGATCAGAAAACTTGCGGTTGTGGTTATTGGCAGTTGAATGGCATACCTTGTATGCATGCTATGTGTGTCATCACAAACACAAAGTTAGATCTCAATGACTATGTCTCTGATTACTACTTGACTTCAAAGTGGCGTGATTTGTATGTCAAGGGTATGAAGCCAGTCTAAGGCATGAAAGCATGGAGAAAGTTAGGGAGATTACCTATTTTACCACCACCATCACGATCCAACCGTGGAAGACCTCATGGTCGATCTAGGATAAAAGGTCCTCAGGAGTCTTCTTTTAATCCATACAAAGTAACCCGCCATGGTCATATTCCTACATGCTCAAACTGAAAAAAAGAAGAACATAACAAGACAAGATGTTCTAATCCAACAACACCTCTTCCACCAAAACGGCGAAGAGGTCGTCCAAGAAAAGAGGTTTGATTTGCACATCCTTTCTTAATTTGATTTGTGGTTCAATTGAATTGTGGCTTGCTTGAATTGTGGTTTCATTTGAATTTTCGTGTTTCATTTTAGGGAGAGTCATCACAAGCATCACAAGGAGGAGCTTCTCAATCATCACAAGGTGGAGCTTCTCAAGCATCACAAGGTGAATTCGGATTTTTTTGAATTTGAACTTCTCATGAAATAGTTTTTTTGTTTTTAGCTAAATTTTAGCTTTTATATTGCTAGATTTAACCTCGGTATTTTGGCATGTTGTTTCGAACTTACATATAAGATTTGCTTTCTTTTCTTTATCAAATTCAGACAGTTTCAATCAGCTTTTATGTTTGTTCTTCTGTCTTTGAATGTTATCTTTATTGTATTGAACCTATGAAAATGTTTTAGCTTGATTAAAATCTGTTCTTCAGCTTGTAAATTTATCATAAATAAGAGTACAGCTATTTGTTTTATCTTACAAAGAGAGAAAGATAGCCAAATATAATCATTGTCTTACCTTACAAATAGAAAAATAGCAAAAGAGAGAACAAGAGAGAAATAGAGAACGAGAGCAACATATAATCAATTGTCTTGCATTACAAAGAGAGAAAGAGAGAAAGAGAGCCGGATACATTCACTTTTTACCAAATACAAGTGTGTTTCTATCAACCTTTTGAAACATGATGTGGTAGATGATAACAATAGCTAAAACACACAAACAAAGAACAAGCACAACCATGTTCTTGATTTTGATGTTGCGTAGCTCACTTTTGCATTGTTGAACTTCTTCTTTCACATTTAAGATCTCACCCATCAATTCGTTCACTTCAACCTCAGATTCTCTTCTATTTTGTTTCAAATCCATAACTTCTTCATACATCACATCTTCCACCCACTTAAACAAGTGTCCAGGCTAAACAAATTCCATCAGTTCCATCAATTGCTACAATCGATCACAAATTTCATCAATTGTTACAATTCCATCAATTTCCACTCATGAAGAATCTAATAAGAATTAAGTTAGTAGCTTACCTTTCGAGAAACACTACAACGAAAGTATAGACGTCCGGGGTTGTCATTTGACTGTGATGTGTATATGGTGACATCACTTCCACATGTACATTTTGTGGGAAATCCCTTGTCCACATTCAAGAACACATTGTTGGAAGAACTCCCAAATTCTTTCTACCATTGGAACCTATCTCCTCCTACACTCACATGGTTTCAGTTCCACTCTCAATTTTATATTCTAGTTACTTAAGTTTAAAATGAATAATAGATCAAGGGAAGAGATTTACTTACAGATTTCGACTGTGAAACCGTTGGAAAGATTTTTGGGCAAGGATTTTGATTCTTCGTGAAGTTCATCAATTTAGTGGTGGAAATCGAGATTGATTTTGAAAATCACCTTTGTCGATCTAGGGTTCGGAATTGGGGAAAACTAAAAACTTGTAAGAAAAAACCAAAGCCGATGAATATAAAGAAATCCCGACGACAAACTTTTTATTTTTAACGGACTCCGTTTTGGAGTTAACGTCTGACTATCTAAATCCCAATTTTACAAAGTAAACTGCAGTGTGGAGAATTATTCTACGCAAGTAATACTTGGTGATTAAAATCACCAATTGCAAATATTTAAATATTGCAATTATTCCTAAAAAATTACAATATATAATAAACTTTAAAAATACATAATAAATGCTGAAATTAAGATAAACAATATAAATAAATTTAAGACACCAAATACAAAAGACATTAATGATAATTTTTTAGTAATAATAATGTTTAAATAAAATTTACATATGTATTTTTGTGATGTTATGTAATTTTTATTATTTGATAAATATTTAAGTTATAGCTTTTGAAAGAAATTGTAAAATATAAAATAAGTGTGATTTATTTGTAAATTTTAAAATTAAAAAGTATTTATAATAAAATGGAATAAAAATTTATTTAGAATTTTTTTTTAAATAAAAAATAAAAAAATACATTGGAGCAAAACACAACTCTATTTTGAAGTTATTCTATTTTAAAATAGAAAACGAAAAAATACATCAGATGATGTTATAAATATAAAGATGTCGGTCACATTTAAACTCTTATTTAATTTCCCCCACGTGTATAGTTTCTAATTTAAAAACATACTAACCGGATATAAATTTGTTATCTGATTTGGTTTGAATCGATACGATTCCGGTTTGTTTTTTCTTCTAAAATTTTATCTTGTTTTCGTCAAAGGCATTGCTACTTGCTCCATTACACACATAGAAGTCCATTCTCTCGCTTTCTCTGAGCAATCAAAAATGAAACCCCAAACCCAATCCTTCGCTCTCAATCTTCTCCCATCTCCCAATTTCGGCAAACCCATCGAGAAACGTGACTTCATCTCTCTGAAACGAGACCCATCTCGTCCAATTTCCCTCCGATGTTCCGTTTCCACGGCTTCGGAGACGCCATTGACGGCAACAAATCATCAACATCTCTCCGCCTCGAGTCACAAACCCTTTCCGGCGGAGGTTTCGAGGAGCATCATGGAGCTTTCCTCCGTCGGAACTCTCTCCACCTTGACCCACGACGGCTGGCCGCTCGGCGTCGGCGTTCGCTTCGCCGTTGACCAAGATGGCACTCCCGTTCTTTGCCTCAACCGCACATTCTCTCCTGACAAGAGGTCTGCTCTTCATGTTCAGGTCATCACTTGCTAATTTTTACTTGATCTCTTCTCGAGAAGTGGGAAAAAAAACCGACCTTTAGTTTCAATTTCAAATCGTGATTAAGATGTGAATTGTCTTTTGGATATTTTCTATGGAATCAGTTGGAGCAATGTGGATTGAGGACTCCTCAGTGTACGATACAAGGTAGCATTGCTCGACCTGGTGACGATAATGTTGTAAAGGTACTGAATCTCTCACTCCAAGAACACAGCTTTACATTTGTATGGGCGATAAAGGTTTCTTCATTGAAATTTTCAATGCTTTTGTCTTAGGAACCCCAAATTTTATGGAAAAGTAAAAAGCTTTGCATTGATATTCATCTTCTTAGTTGGTGCTTGAAGACTTTAGCCAGTTTCGTGCTTATGAGTGTGTAGTTTGTATAAGATGCTTGCTTTATTGGCCCCCCTGCATGTGATTTTACTTGAACTGAATCGAAGTTCCGCATGTTTTGTGTAGCGTCTTAGTGCTACATGGAAGAAAAAGTTTGGCGAAGAAGTTGAAGAAGACAGTTTATATGTTGTTGCTGTTGACCGTGTGCTCCAGATGGAAGACTTCATGGAGGTAAAATCGTGCTTAACATTCTCAATTTCTTGTGACAGTTGCCAATTCAAAAAAAGGAAGAAAGGCTTGTTGTGATCCAGACTCTAATAACACAATGTGTAAAAAACCTAATTCAGGATGGAATATGGGTGGCGTCATCAGATTATAGACATGCAAGGCCTGATCCTCTTCGAGATGTCGCAGAAGACATTGTCAACCAGATTAACACTAACAACATGGAAGACATTTTCCGTTTCTGCAACGTATACGTGGATCTGGACTTTGTGGTTAGTAGATTCAACACTGATGATATGCTGGTAATTGAATATGTTTATGAATTTATGCAAAAAAGCCGTTTTGACAATCTCAGGAGCAAAACTGCTAGTTTCCACTTTCAGATTAGTTGGCTTGTGATGATTCGGAATGATTCTATCTCTGCCTAATGCCAGGTTTCAGGGACAAAGATGATATGGATGGATAGGCTCGGATTCGACCTACGATTATGGTCTCCACGAGGTGTGTATGACGTGAGGATTCCATTTCCAACGGAAGTAACAGATGAAAAAGGAGCAAAATCATCATTTAATGGAATGTCACAGCTCGCTTGGGAAGTAGAGAAAAGCTATTGCCCTGCAGATTTCAACAAAGTTAAACTGCTTAAGCAAGTAGTGGGATCATCACACAAGGGAGGACAATAACAGTTTTATTAACTTTTTCTTTTTTTGTTCTTGTCTCCCCATTCTTTGTTTTACAGTTGATGCCACAAAGTCTGGCCTCTGTTGTAGCATCTCTTTGAGAATTCTCTGTTCCGAGTAACAGCGCATGTACAACACCTGAACAAACATCTGTCATATGTTCTTTTTATATTACTAAGGCTGCTCAATGGGAGCCAACTTGTCAATAGGAGAATGCAATGTTACTATTAACAATACCATTTACTCAATACAAGACAGAGGCAATTACACACTTTATGGAGCAACATATTGTTCCTTCAAATGTTTTGTAGACTATTTTTCCTTGACAACGATCATCGCATTGCCTGCATATGTTGCGTGTAAGATGATTATTGGAAAGAATTTCAACGTATCTTTCCCAATACTCGAATACTCTACCAGACATGAGATACATCTCCTCCTCTCCAAGTAGACATTTAATATGGAGTGTAACATCGCAGTCATTGCACATATAAATTCCATTTTTCTTCGGATCTGCTTCATTTTCACAAACGTCGCACCAATACTCACCACTTGCATCTTTATCATAGAAAAAGAAGAGAAAATGTTCATCATGCTTGTACCTTAGCTTACCCGGTAAAGTGGCGCAGCCAAAACACAAAACAAAACCACATTCTCCACAGTTTAGAAATAAACGATCTGCATATGAATGGCAAATCAAACATTCCTGTTGACTTCGAGGTCTAGATGTAAGAAACAAAGGATGTGGATGACACTGGTAGTTGAATGGCTCTGATATAAAAGCACAACGTATGTCTAACTTGTAATAGCAACTCTCTACTCGACACTCGTAGTTGAAACCACTGTTGGCACGTAGACAAGCATCACAATCGAACAAAACGCCTAGATGATACACTTGTAGAGTAAGCGGATGAGGATGCATCGGATATTGTTTCTTTCGAGGAAGATGTGCACATGCTTGATGGAGAATGAAATCATCACACTGCATGCAGCTGTAGATAATATCATCACATATGGGAAGTGTGCATGCCTGACACCGTTTGTTCTCGTCAAATTCTCTATCGGTCTCCTCGTCGAGTCTCATATGATGATTTTGATGACTGAAATGTTGTATAATTCTATCACTTACCTCACTGAACGATTTAAGTTCTTCTTCATAGGCATCTTCTGGTTCTCCCTCAAGCTCTTTTCCATCCCATACATCTTCTCGTGTTGCACATTTAGAATGAACACCATAACTACAGCCCTTCATGCAAGAATATCTTCCGTAATCCGTGTCTATCTTTCCACGGCACACTCCACAAGACCATTTGTGAGGAGTAAGTGAAGAATCAAAAGAAAGACGGTGTTGATGACGTGATATTCTTATGATCCATGGTAAGTAGACACACTCTCTATGGACCACAAAATGACACTGGGGACATGCATAAATGGAAGACCTACTATGACTCAAGGCACAAACATCACAGGTCAATGACGACTCTTTTCTAAGAAAATACAAGAGTGGATGCTCATGCCTTTTTGGATGATCTATTGCAAGGACTGGTGGTTTTTTGGCGCAATCTCGACACATTGTAAAATTGCATATAGAGCAATTGTAAGCCCCTACAATTCTGAGTGAACAGCATGAGCACCTATAATAATGTGTACGTGGTTCTTCCCAATATGGATGATAAATTTTAAACCGAAGAGAATGTTTAGGATGGTATGGGTGATTTGATATTGGTTCGGTACACTCTTTGTGGAATCGGTTATCACAATGTTTGCATGAAAAGAATGTGGTACCGATCAGTATGTTTTTCCAGCAAATGTTACATTGGACATCGCCAGGTGTTCCCTCTTTGTTGTTGCACTGATCTAAGAGACTGATTTTGTCGTGCTCGACCTAGAAAAAAAAAGTTACTGACATAATGACATCATAAAATAACAGTATCATTAATATTTAATAGTATAGTAAGATTAAAAAAAACTTTCAGAAATGAAAACAAATGCTTAGAAATATAAACAAAAGTAACAAATGTGTGTATAGAAATATTGATGGAAGCAATTATTATAAGAGGTAGAATTGGGGGTACAAATAAAATAAAAAAAAAAAAAAAAATATGGTAGGGGTTCAGAGGTGTCAATTACAGATTTTTTATTTTTGCCACTTTTCCCACCAAAACCATTAATCTTTTAGTTAGAAAACAAACAATTATATAAGAACTGTACCGAATTATTAGACTTGTCGACTTTGGAATCAAGAAAACTCGGTTGGATTGGTAACTCCCCGAATTGGACCCATCGAAACTCGTCTTCCTCGTTTCTAAATCGTGCATAAGGGCAAATGAGAGGACGAGTAACTTTCTGCTGCTTTGACGACACACTATCCATGGCTGTAAGCCTGTAACGAAACAATAAAGTTAATGGAATTTATGATGTGTATAGATACGCATGCATACGTGCTTATATATATAATGCATGCATGCATGTTATGTTACATGGTAACGAATATAATATACAAACGTGTCTTATTTGTTATGCTAATCCATTCTACAACTCATAACGCAAAGTACCAATTCTTTATCTACTCTAATGTTTTTCTCTTGGCATATCAAGTTTTGTAAATGTTACTGTTGGGATATTGAAAAGTTTAAAGAATACTATATACTATTTTTTTTTTTATTCTTTTCTTCACTATACATCTTATTTGGACAGAAAAAAGTCGAAGATATGATTGGGCCCTATTTAGATAGGCCCAATGGGCCGATATTCATCTCTTCTCTCCGTTGCAGCGAAACACTGGCGTAACTTCACATCAGTACCAAGTCCCAAGCGTGGTTCAGAATTTGAATCGTTGTTCTTGGTACGAAGGAGAGGAACATGCCGGTGACGAATCCGCATAATTCCACCGCCGATCTTCCTTCGGACTCTTCCTCCGCCGCTAATCGCTCTCACCAGGTGCGTTTTCCGGCGAGTAATCATGGTTTTCCTCTGATTCTGGTTTTGGTTATGTTCTACGATTCCGTTCTGATAAATCTGTTCTCTCAGCCGTCTGATGGAACCAGCAAGGTACTTGGCGGCTGTCAAATCACCGGCGAGGGAGATGAATCGCTTAATAAGAAGTAATGATTTAATCTTTCTTTCATGCGAGAACTGATTTGACTCGATAGTATAGTTCATCTTGATTTGTGCTCATTACTTGGTGAAATGTTTCTACTTTTTCCAGCTGAATTTCTCTTTTGTTCATCTTACACTCGATTTAGGTTTTCAGATATAGTTTGATTAATTGATGTGAAGAAACTAGATTTAATCTGCTTCTGAGTGTGATTTCAGTGTTTTCTTACAGGAAGAAGTGTTGTGAGCAAAAGCTGAAAGAAATGGCTGCTTGTGACAATTGTAAAGATGATTCAGATTTCAAGAGAGGACTCCATTACCATCAGGAACAGGTACACACAATGAAGATAAGCACAACAAGATTGAGCCTTTTTTTGATGATAGCTAAACTCTCTTGTCTTCCTTTACGTTTCCTTCTTCTCTACAAGCAACTTTCAAGTACCAAAAGCAAATACTATATCGTGTGTTTTGTTTGTTTGCTGTGTAGCGGAGGATGAGTTTGACATCGACTGTGGCGGTGGATCCTCCTTCATCTCTCGACGCTCCTCCTCCCACTAGGAGAACCATTGATCTCGGCCATGGAAGTGACCTCATCTACATTCAGAGGTTTCTTCCTTTTCAACAATCTTGGACTTTCTTTGATTATCTCGACAACCATATTCCTTGGACCAGGCCCACTATTCGCGTCTTCGGTCGATCTTGCCTCCAGGTTCATATGATCCATTATTGAAGCATGTGTATGAGAAATTTAAGCCACAAGCACAATTTCACAAACTACTTTACAATGTGTGTGTGTGTTGTGTGGCCCTCTCTAAGTATATATTCATTTTGGCCACTTGCAGCCGAGAGATACATGTTATGTTGCGAGCAGCGGATTGGCCGCGCTTGTGTACAGTGGATATCGACCTCATGCCTATTCATGGGATGATTTTCCACCGCTCAGGGAGATTCTGGATGCTGTAAGATCGAAACCCACACATGTGTGTCCCCTGTGTTCTAGTGGTCGTTGTTGGAACTAAAGGTTTTATCTTTTTTGTCTTTGCTAGATTCAGAAAGCGCTTCCTGGAAGCAGATTCAACAGCTTGCTGTTAAATAGGTACAAAGGTTGCAATGACTATGTTGGTTGGCATGCAGATGATGAAAAGCTTTACGGTCCGACTCCCGAAATTGCGTCCGTCTCGTTCGGATGCGAACGTGATTTCCTGCTGAAGAAAAAGAAACGCGAAGAACCTGCAGAGAAAACAGGAGATGGTGGTGGATCGGAGAAGAAGAGGTTAAAGAGAAGCAGGAGAGAGGATCAACAGAGTTTCACACTGAAGCATGGATCGTTGCTGGTGATGAGGGGATACACGCAAAGGGACTGGATTCATTCTGTGCCAAAGCGTGCAAAAGCAGAGGGCACTCGTATCAACCTCACCTTCAGGCTTGTTTTGTGAAACCAAGCATCATCATAGGCAAAGTTGTACAACCCCTTTCATAACGAAAGTACGCGAAAACTATTGCTATAACGATTACAAGCTGTACATCTGATCTGAACAATCCAACACGATCATGATACATTTGTAGAGTAAGGGGATGAGGATGCGTCACTTGATGTTTCTTATATGTAATAATATATTCTAAAAACTTCCACACCCCAAGTACTAATGCTATATACTATCTACTTTTATGCGTTTCCTTTTGCATTTTTATCACCTTTTCTAATGTTACTTATGGACTAGGAAAAGGTAACATTAATATTGCATTCTTTATTCGCTTCTATACTAACTACTGTAGTACACCGTTTGTTTTTTTTTTTTTTTTTGACAACACACCGTTTGTTTTTTATAACCAAAAAAATGTTAAATTTTATCGAATGGCAAAGACATATAATAAGTGTTGCTTGATGAGCAAGCGACGGCTTGTTATTTAATTAGTGATATAAACGTCAAATATTATAAACGTTACCTCTGTATTTAGTATTTACTAGCTAAGAGACATTCACAAAAAGCATATCACTTAATTAACACAACCTTGAAATGGACCAAGACAGTGTTAGGATATCTCCTGGTCCAACATCGTTATGTGCAACTGCAAGTGACTTGTCGTCCTTCAAAAATCATGTGATCTCAGTGACTTTCCTTTCATTTAATACAGGAATACAAACCCTGATCTTAGAGTTAGAGGAACCCCGACCAAAAAACTCGTCGTCAAGCTAAAAATAAAATAATACTAATCCTTATTCCTGCTATTCGGAATGGGCTGTTTATTTTGATTGAAATATCGTTTATTTGGGCCTCATTTAGATTGGCCCAATGGGCTGAGAGGTTGACTAGGTCTGACAATCAATATTCAGTTCTCTCTCTCTCTCAAATTGCAGCGATTTTCTCAGATAGGAGCTACGACCTTCTTCTTCTCAATCTCAGATAAAAAAAAAAGCTTTGGAGAGATGGCATCGAATGCGGCGGTTCCATTCTGGAGAGCGGCGGGGATGACGTACATCACCTACTCCAACATCTGCGCGAATCTCGTGAGGAAGTGCCTCAAGGAGCCCTTCAAGGCTGAATCCATGAATCGCGAGAAGGTTCACTTCTCCCTCGCCAAATGGGCTGAGGGAAAGCCCCAGAAACCAGGTATCTATTTAGAAGATCTCCCTTCCTTATCCCTGCTTCGTTTGTTTGTTTCAATTCTGATCCAGATCTAGCTTCTTCTCCTCTCCATGTTTCTTTTCCCCTTTCATTCATGTGCGATTGTCGTTGTTTCTGCTTCACTGAAAGGGTTGTTTAGGGGAAGGAACAAGGACTTATATAGCTTCTACATCGTCTTAGACTCATTCATCAGTTTCCGATGGAAATGAATTTGGAATTTAGCCCCTTTTTTTACAGCTCTTACAAACTTTAATTAGGTCAACGAAAACCATAGCTATCTTCTTCCAATGCTTGTTGCTTAGGGAATGGAGCAAATTGATGTTTTGAGCTCACATTTGTTGTTGATATTCGTCTCACCAACTTGAAGAGAAACTTTTTAATCTATCGTACCTCAGTTCGGTTTTGTGACAATTTCCTTCTTTTGTTCTTTAACATCAACTTTGTCTTGTTTGTTGACAGTTCTACGCTCAGACACACCTGACATCGTCTGAGGTTTTTTAAATCAAGATATGGTTCCCAAAGTTCGATGATGTTATTGCGTCTTCTTTGGATGGACTGAAAAAGAAGGGATGCAAGAACGTTTCTCTGCATATTTTGGTTTCTTTTATTGTCTGCAATGATACTCTCAAGTCAATAATCTGAAACATAGAGCTTTCTTGCTTCAAACAATTATAATTCGTGGTTTTTTGAGTTTTCTATGTTCTTTTTTTAAACTATGACCATTTTCTACAACAAATATTCACGAGAAGTAATAAACTGCTTAAAGGCTCGATCAAGTGAAGGCTTTCTCAATATTTGATAAGAAAAAACCAAAGGCCATTGAGATTCTGCAGGCCGGCCAAATTAAAGAAGCGATTATAATTTTATGAAAAAATGGAAAGAGTAGCTATCTGTTTTGAATGAAGTCACAATAGGGGAGAGTAGCTATATAAACACGCTTCTCTGGTTTCACGTCCAGAATCAACTAGCCTAACGCAGCAGGACAGGACAGGACACTGACATCAGTAAGAGAGGAGATAGGTAGACTCCACGCTAGCTCATAGATACTCCTGCGTGCGTCTGGCTCTGTTCCTGGACGCCACAAGATAATATTACCTCGCTTTGTAGGTAAGAAACTCCTACTTGACTGTCCCTGCATAAGACTAAGCCAAGACCTGGAGTTGGATATATAAGTACCTCAACTATAGACCTACAATGTAATGGAGTATCTTCAACTTAAAAACCAGCTGTAAGTTTCAATAACTGGTACATCAGCCTAAGAATAGAGAATGATCCAAGATGGGATAATGCTGAAGAATGACACCGATGTGACAGACCATGAGAGCCGCATTCCACAGGATGTAATGTTATGTTTTTGATGTGATTGGCCATGCAGTGAGATGAAGTTGATGAAAGGCCTTTGGATGTCAACATGTAACGCAATGTTAATGTTATGTTATTTCCTAGCCAACACAGCTGATGGAGTTTCATCGGGATGAATGGGTCACAGTGATGAAAATGAATCCCACGAAGCGATGTTGATGTTATCATGTTATGAAGTAATGTAATGTTATGTTATTTCCTACGTTACACAGCAAGTGGAGTTTCATTGGGATGTCAGAATGATTATATGATGCCCCCACAAAGTTATGTGGTAAAGCGGCAATAAGATAAACAAATGGTTAACGAAACTCCTACAGATTTAAACCAATAATCATAAACCACACCGAGAATGCATGTAGCAAAGCTAATAGAAACTGAAACATGTTATATGTTGATGAGGTCACACTATATGCGATGCTTAAAAAAATGGCGAGAATGAAATGGATGCAAATGCGGACTGGCTGCAAAATGCATCCTATTGGTGCAGTTGTTGGGAGATAAAGAAGAGAGTACATCCCCCTTCAAGGCCTACTGATATGTCAGGGCTCCTTGAGCTCCATTTGCGTTTGGAGAAGGAAAGAACGAGTAGCCGCCGCCTTCCTTCCTTTTCCCGAATGGGTTCTTCGAATATGTATCATTGGGTTAAGAAGAAACAAAAAAGAAAGTAGGCATATTGAAGTATAGAAGTAACGGCAGAGAATATGTTTTGGAAAAAGAAGAAAACAAACAGAGTGAGTATTTAAAGGATATTGGATCCTCATGCCAACTGAGCCAGAACTTGGAATGACAGCACCTTGCAAGTTATGGTGAACGTTTGTGGCACTATTCACATCCTGCAAGTCGCAATAGAACAATTTTACAATATGCTACAAAAATAGTGTCTGGCGCGTATACACACACAGATGGCGAGGGTGGAGAATTAACCTCGAATTCAATAAAGCAAACTGTATGTCTTTCTTGTCGCAGAACCTTCATTTGTTTGAAACCAGGTTGCCTGCAAAATGAAAGTACAGTTTACCACAGAATTCTCGAGAACACAAAAAGGCAACATCTCAAAGGAAGCAATGGACAGGAGTGTCACTAAAGCAAACAGATACTCACGCGCTCAACAGGCTCCTCAATTCTTCTTCGTTAATATTCTCTCCAAGATTACCAATAAATAGGGTATTGCAAGGAGGGTTATCCTTAATATTCTGAATCGAAAAAATAGAAAACAGCATGAGGCTTTTAGCAACAGAATCAGAAACTTTCAGCAAACTCATAGCAGTACACAAATGTATATATATTAGGTAACAACTATTGTTCCAGAACAACAACTACCAGAGAGCATAAGCATGAAAGCTAATCAGAATAAACTTCGAGTTTGTAAATATTAGAATGATGACAAAAAGTTGAAACTTCACCTGGACAGGCACATATGAACTAGGAGCTGCTATCGGTGCAGGGGCAGGCATAGGTACAGGGGGAGTGTGATAACCTGCATAGGGATCATATGGTGGAGGTGCAGGTGCCATATACCTGAACCAATTTTTTTTTATATTTGATGTCAAAATAAGCAATTAAACAGAACACAATGTACCAAATACACGTCCTCCAGTTTCTACACAGCACCAGAAAAACATGAAGGAGAAGCAAGTGCCTCACCCGTGAGGTGGTCCCCACACTGGAGGAGGAGGAGAAGGGTGGAAAGGAGACGGACTATAAACAGAGTGCGTGCAGTCACCACCAGTTCGTAGGCGCTTACTTTGATCATAAGCATTTGAATCTCCAACTATTCCTACAGTATATAACAATCGAGCTCCAAAGTGAAAAAAAATGCCAATGAAAGTAAGAATCTTGATAAATAGGAGAGCATAACAAGATCCTCGTATAAATGCACTAAAATATATCGAACGTGTGTCAGTAACATGACCAATGTTAAGTAGAGCTAACCTCTTTTAACAAAGAGATTCTTCTTGGCCATCTCTGTATGTATCACAGACTTTGACTCAGCATCAAACACCAGTTGCTACATGCCAAAAAACAACATATGTCATAAACTGAAAAATTAAAAAAAGAGTAAAGATGAATGATGGGAAGCAGAAAGACCTGAAGGGCATCTTTGGCTGCCACAGCAAACTGTGCCGTGGAGAAAAGAGCAAAACCCATTGGCTTTTCTCCTTTGAAGTTCACCTGAGAAGCCTCGTAACCAGGCAACCATCTTAAGAGATTCAGAAGCTCTCTCTCTTTTACATCATCGGGAAGCCCAGCGATGAAGATTGTCCGAAGCTGTGTAACAACAGATTCAAACTCGTCTAAGATATTCATGTTTTTCATAGCTCCATCCAGATGAAGCTTACCACATTATAAACTGCTCAGAATTTTACAAGTCTCAATCAATCAACTAATAGAAATCATATTTCGAGGTTTAGCAATGTCATCCATAAAAACTATGCACCAATTAAATCGATTCCGAAACAAAAAAAAAAGAGCAGACAGATAACAAATCCCAACTTAAACAAAATCAAAGAAGCTTATCTCAACAACATATCACAAGAACTACCAAAACAATACTATATATATATATATATATATATAGAGAGAGAGAGAGAGAGAGAGAGAGAGAGAGAGAGAGAGAGAGTTGAAACCTCATCAAAAGGAGGACGATTATGGTTGTCAACTAAAACAGGAGGAGGAGGGTGATGATGACGAACAGGCGGGGGATGTGGTGGAGCAGCTGAGGAGACTGCGGCGGGAGGAGGCGGCGCACCTCCCGGCGGCCACTGCTGGTGGTAAGGGTGGATTCCGGCACCGGCCATGCGCGATGGAGAGAGAAGGAAACCCTAAGAAGATGAGAGAGACAGAGCGATGTTGGAACGATTTGCTCGGCGGAAGAAAGAATTAACGACGAGCGCCAGACTTTTTTTTTTTTTTTAAGTCACATGCTTCGCACGTGAACCTTAGTCTGCTGAAGAATCGAATTTTATTCTGCTGAGTCGGCAAAAATATTAAATTATCAAAAATTTCCTGAACTATCCGATCCTACAAATTGACCCCTTACATGGAAATTTAACAAATAATATATAGGGTGCAATAAATATTAGTGGAAAAGAGTGGTTTTATAAAATTGTTTTGCTTCTAAAATTTCTTCATGCCTCTCTAAACAGTTTTTAAACAACACTCTACATTCACTGTAGAGGTTTCTCGTTGAATTAATTTTACACAACAACAAGAAAACCAAAAAAAAAGAAACGATCTTGATGAAGGTTAGAACTTGGTTCTTTTAGCAGGACCTTGATCGATAATAGGATCGATTTGAGGCTGTTGAGACTCTCCTCCTTGAGTTCCAAGCTCTTCCTTTTCTCCCAATGCTTCTTGGCTAACATATCCTTCAGGAAACGGTGGTGGTGGAGGAGCTTGGGGTAACTGCACAAGGCAACACAAGACAATGGCTAAGTTTCACAATCAGAAGAAATGTGTTAGGAGGAACTAAAAGAATCAGAAACATTCTCACGCCAATAAGAGATACAATGTGTGTACCTTGCGATATAAAGAACTAAGAATGGTATCGACTCGCTTCATTTCCTTCAGATCAACCGTCTCACTAGCAGGCTTTGGCTCAGAAGGTTCCTTCTGGTTCTCATCATCAACTGAAACCCATAGATAAAAATGAAGTAAAGTTATCTCAAGAGCAACAAAGAGCAACCAATACACCAAGTTACTTGATAAAGTCCCATAAACTTGTTCAGCATTGGCCAATGAGCTTGATAATGAATAAAACGTAGCTTCCACAAACTTTCAAGCAGAAACGATTTACATCACATTTAATTGAGAAGAGAAGCAATGATCCTATTTATTGAAGAAAGACGAAACTTTTATTTACCATGCCTAACAGTCTCCAATTTCGACGCAGCAACAGAGAAAGCCTTGGATATATTGTAAACAGCACGACCCTGATTTCAAACACATCCACAATGAGAAAGAGGATATAATCAAAAACCTAAAGCAGAGGGCAAAAAGCTAAAAGAGAAAGGTGAAGAAGACATTTACCACTCGAGCTGCAAACACACTACAAAGCTGTGGAGCTTGGTATATGGTACCGTCCAAGACATAATATGTTAGCATCGGCGTGACTTTCTCTGGACCATCCCTCCTTTGCTTACGAAACACGAACAGGTTTGGTTCCGTAGCCTCACTGATCACATATTCTAGTCCTGTCATCTTCCTGCAGATGAGTTGAATGTAGTGTGATCAATTTTGGGGTTTTTCAGCATTCTCTCAGGATACAAACAGAGGCCAAAACCTAAAATTGAAACCTTAGAGATGTGGCTCAATATGAAGCTAAACCAGTGATGGAGCAAAAGTAAAAAGAGGGGAAAATCGAAATCGAAACCGAAATTGAAACGAGTAAGGAGCTTACGAGAGGTGAGAGTGATCGAGAGGGTGAATGGATCTCCTACGAAGCATCTCGTTGTTGCAGGTGATATCGTAAAACGGAGACAAAGCGAAGTAGTCGAAGACGTAGTTACGGTCAAGAGGGTACGAATTGATCCATAGCTGATCCCTGAAGCTAATACCGGTCATATCCGTACCCGGAGGCTGTAGCGGAGGAGCAACCTGCTCCGCCGCATTACCGTTGAAGGTCTCGGCCGTAGCCGCCGAGAGCAGAGAGGAGTCCATGGAAGTTGAATCGCTTCGCCGGGAACGAGAAGACAGAGAGACAGAGAATTTTTCGGCCCAATCGTATTTACATTGGCCCAAATAAAGGATTCGTATTTTCGATGGGTAATCGATTGATAATGTGTATGTGTGTACCAATCAAACCGGGATTCGAACTGGTTAAGTACCAATTGGAATTAGAAGGCGTGGTTAAGTTTCCGGTTTCGAAAACAGAATTCGTTTATTGATCTGTTTACAAAACAGAAGTCGTTTAGTAATTTGCCCAAAATATATTCACCTACCCTCTAAGTCGCACCCGTAGACAATTCACAATATACAGCAACCAAGATGAGACATCACATTGTAGCAAGAACCAAAACCGATAAAAGTAATAAAAGCCAATTAAAAGGCAAATTTGTAAACATTTTCGAAGGCAAATTAAGTTTCTTCCATCTATGAAAACAAATATTCCCAAAACTTTATAGGTTTATACACCAACCTGATTCATTAGCCATGTTTATTGAGTTTCGAAGAAGAATCAATGTTGGAATTTTGAAACCGAAGATTGTTTTGTTTTGTTTGGTTTTTATAATATCATTTCTTGATTTTAAAAACCCGAACCCCACTCATAGTCCAATAACAGACCGACCAATAAAAACATCGTCAACGTGTTACAACACAGAACCACACAGATACTTCCAAAGCTAGCGATTGCTAACCACGCGCATTTCCTCAGCGCGTAGATACCTTTTTTCTCGATATTGTCTCTCGTTGATTTTTAACTTTCTCTTTTTTCTCTGGTTTCTAAAAAACTTTTCTTCGATCCCCTCCACAATTTTCTTTCATGAACCTTCGTTTTCCTTTTTGATTTGATCGCTTCCAAAGACGACGAAATCAAACCCTACGAACGATGATCTATAAAATACGAAGAAGACGACAATGACCTGATTTTTAGAGGTTTATGATAAAAACCTGTAGAAGAAGAAGAAGACAAGAATCGAGCTCGTGAAAAAAAAAAAAAAAAACATTTGATTCCTCATGAGACCGATTCAGTCGCCTCCTGGAGTTGCTTCCCCTATGAAGAGCCGATTGCGCAAGCGTCCCGACCTCAGCTTACCGCTCCCACAACGCGACGTCGCTCTCGCCGTTCCTCTTCCTCTCCCGCCTCTCTCCTCCGGCAGCGGCGGTTCTGCTCCTCCGGCATCGTCTTCCGCGATCTCCACCAACATCTCCGCCGCCAAGAGCTTGTCCGAGCTAGAGCGCGTGAACCGAATCGGAAGCGGCGCCGGAGGAACGGTCTACAAAGTGATCCACCGTCCGACTTCGCGCCCTTTCGCCCTCAAGGTGATTTACGGGAACCACGAGGACACCGTGAGGCGCCAGATCTGCAGAGAGATCGAGATCCTGCGGAGCGTGGATCACCCCAACGTCGTGAAATGCCACGACATGTTCGATCACAACGGCGAGATCCAGGTCCTGCTCGAGTTCATGGACAAAGGGTCTCTCGAAGGCGCGCACGTGTGGCAGGAGCACGAGCTCGCCGATCTCTCCCGGCAGATTCTCAGCGGGTTGGCTTACCTCCACCGCCGTCACATCGTCCACCGCGACATCAAGCCTTCGAACCTCCTCATAAACTCGGCGAAGAACGTGAAGATCGCCGATTTCGGGGTGAGCCGGATCTTGGCACAGACCATGGATCCTTGCAATTCGTCCGTCGGAACCATCGCTTACATGAGCCCTGAGCGGATCAACACCGACCTGAATCACGGCCGTTACGACGGCTACGCCGGAGACGTCTGGAGCTTGGGTGTGAGCATCTTGGAGTTCTACTTGGGGAGATTCCCTTTCTCTGTGAGCAGACAAGGCGACTGGGCGAGTCTAATGTGCGCCATTTGTATGTCTCAGCCGCCGGAAGCTCCGGCGACGGCGTCTCAGGAGTTTCGTCACTTCGTCTCTTGTTGCTTGCAGAGTGATCCTCCAAAGAGATGGTCTGCTCAACAGCTTCTGCAGCATCCTTTCATACTCAAATCAACCGGAGGCCCGAATCTCCGTCAAATGTTGCCGCCGCCTCGTCCTCTCCCTTCGCCATCTTTTCCGGCGGCCTAGTTTTTGCTTCTTTTTTTCCATCTCTACTTTTTGTTTTCATCGAATCTTGGTTCCATTTTTTTCTTGATTTCCTGAATTTTCCGTAAGTTTTGCAAATCCTTGTGATTTGGGTATGATTCCTCAGGGAAGAAACTCACTTTTGAGTCTTCTTAAGCTGCTAAACTCGATTTGTCATTGTGTAATGGTAGAATGTTTGCTAGAAATGGGAAAAAGGGAAGAACAAAAGTATTGAGTTTGGTTGGATTTGCTTGTAGTAGCTTCATCATTGTTCATATCAGGAAGTGATGGAGGATCTTCAATTTGTTAAATTTTTTTCATTAATAAAGGCTTCTTCTTTTCTTTCTCCTTTGCTTCTTATAGAGAATCATCATAAAGGCTACTGTTTTTTTCTTTTGCTTTGCCATTTATGGTCTTGATTGTCTAATAATTGCGGGAAAGTTGAAAGCTTGTTTTATATGAGCCTTTTGTTTTTGCCGAAATCATGTGATTCTCTTCCAATTTGGTGGAATTCATAAAGGTTTCATGTGTTTCTAACTTTGAGCGTGCATGAAAATCTCAGCTTTTCCCCTAATCCTGCCTTAATGCTTTAGTGTGACTAATTCAAGTGTTACGTTCAGGTTCTAAGTTATCAGCATCTACTAAGAAACTCTACCTTATGACCAGTTTCTGTTTGTAATGTTGGTCATAAACATGAACATATATGACGATCCCTTTTATCAGATTCCACTTTTGGTGTGATGTTGTCTGCTTAGCCACTTCCTTGTCATTGTCGTTTATCAGGTATGTTTCTGCTCCTTAATTCTCTAGACTGATTTAATTTAGTAATTATGTTTAGGATGTTGTTAAGAATAGTTTAGCTTTAGGTTATGGATACAAACAAAATATCGAAGCAGCATTTTGTACATTGTGGTCCATGAGGATTTTGATAATGGAGCTCCCTGAGACACTTCTCAATCTCCCTGAGATACAGATAAAACAAAAAAGCAGAACCTAACATGAGAGTAACTAAAACTTTAAAAGTACTTAACAAAGTGTAGAAAAGCCCTTGACTTTACATCATTGAAGTCTCGAAACCAAATTAGATACCAAATAATTGCTTCTTAAAATACTTCTTAAGGACGTCAACGTTCGATATTGCATTTCAAGCTCTCTTGTGTCTATTTAAGGTACTCGGTTTCTAATTTAGCTCTGAGTTCCTTCCTCAAAATCTTGCCTGAAACTGCTTTAGGTATGGCTTCTATGAAAAACACCATCTTGATTCGCTTGTAGTGAACCACCTATATAGATCATTACACCATTGATTTAAGACTTCTATAAAGTTTCCATCACTGTGTCTGTGTGTTTCCCATGTTTAAGACTCATTGGTGAAATCTCAAAAATGTTACCTGTTTGTTGACATAACTCTTGACATCATCTTCACTTAGCTGAGACCCCTCCGATCTTACAACAAACGCTACCGGAACCTCATCAGCTACTTCATCCTTCATTCTAAAAAAAATTCAAATATCATTAGAAGCAACGAACATTTGAGTTTCAAATTAGAAGTTTTGAGATTTGTTTTTTAAACTCACGCGACAACGGCAGCATCATCGATAAAAGGATGAGAAATAAGCAATGCTTCAAGCTCAGCTGGAGCCACTTGATAGCCTTTGAATTTGATCAGTTCCTTCAAACGATCAACAATGAAAATCTCATCATCATCATCCACAAACCCAATATCTCCTGTGTGTAACCATCCATCTTTATCTATGGTTTGCGCAGTAGCTTCCGGATCATTCAAATAACCTACCAACATTGCACCATTATTTTCCTCTATCAAACATTCTTCCAAGAGGAAAACAAAAAACAACGGATAAAGCATTTAAACTGTTTTCACCTTTCATGAGTTGATCGCCTCGGATACAGATTTCGCCAGGTTTGTTACGCGGTAAGGAGACTCCGGTAATGGTATCGACCACTTTCATCTCGGCGTTCCTGATCACAGTCCCACACGCACCAGACTTGGTTTTAAATGGGTTCTTTGCAAACGCCAGTGACGTAGCCACCGTTCCTGACTCAGTCATTCCATAACCCTGAAAACGTGTTTTTTCTTTTAGTTATTACAAAAATGTGAAAACGACAACATTTGACAATTGTCCACAATAGTAACAACATCCCCAATGACGAAGACAGGAGCCAAGAAACGACAGCAAAAAACGGTTTTTTAATCTGAAAACTGTAATTAAGTAAACGAGTATGACAATGTGTCACGATGGGGTTCATCAACATGTGCGTTGGTCGTCGTTATTGAATTAAACTTTAGGATTGTCAACGTTTTCTTATATGATCCCACAACCAATCAATAAGTCAATTACGTTTGTTTTGTCAAATAAATAAGTCAAATACTTGCCGTCAAAAAAAAAAGAAAAAAGTCAAATACTAAAATATGTATAAATAATCCAGTATAAGACTGATTTAAATGGCTGGTTCTTATTAAGAGACAAGCAAGGAATAAATGTGTCCCCCCACATTCTTCCCCAGGAATGAAAGTGATGACCACCGATAATTCATCACTTTCCAGTTAATAATTTTTATATAATTAGACTGTTTAGTTAATTCATACAAAGCAACATAAAGAAAGTGAGAAACCAAACAGAGAAGTGCAGAATAAAGGGGCAGTGAGATTACAGTGGGTTTCTTTTTTCGCAAGACATTATCTTTTGTGTCAGTGTGTTGTGACCCTAACTCTATTTAGAAGCTTAGTCATAGTACTCTATGTTTTATAAATTGTTTTTTTTTTTTCTGTCTGATTGTATCTTTTAATATGATGCAAAAGATTATTAACAAAATATTTGGTTGGATATTTAAATGTTCTATTATTCTACTCCCTCTGTTTTTATATATAAAATGTTTTAGAGATTTTTTTTTGGTTCAAAAATAGTTGATGTTCTTATATATTTATGCAAAAATTAATTAGATTTTTATTATTTTAACTGTTTGAATTCTGCATATTGTTTTTCTATAGGTTAGATTGATTTGGAATTGATGATAACATATATATATATATTTTTTTTTTTAAATGATATCTTAATTTGTGTGCAAACAAACATCATATATCAAAAAACAGAGAAAGTATATCGTATATTTTGGAATTCAAACTCAAATTAATCATATGAAAAAATCTAAAGTGATATGTTAATGATATTCGACCAACCGGACGAAACCACATAACGATAATCACTTTATTTAATTTTGTCACCTTCTTTCTTCTTCGTCAGTTTAGTTGTTTATTGCTTTATTTAAAATCACAGTAAAAGAATTCAACCTTAGTTTTAAACCCCAAAATGAATTTATCAAATCTTTTGTTGTTTTTTACGACTAACTCATCATTTTAGATAACTCTAGTCTAATAGTATGGCTTAGGTACATTTAAACTAGTTTGATGTACAGTATAGCTCGGATAATTTGGACCAAGCAGAAACTAGAAGTATATAGATGAACGGTACCAAATTAATCTTCTTATTACTCTTCTAACTAAATTGGTTTCAGACTCTCAAATGGCGAAATTTGACCAAAATTGAATCATGCATCATTCTATTTTGGTCCGTCTGAATGTGGATGCTAAATAGAATCACACGTAGTGGTCAAAGAATTTGGAACTGTTGTTTACCCACTACTAGATACTCAAGTTTCATCCAATTGATTGACTTTCTAGTCAAGATAATGACCACGATAGGTTATCGATGTCTACATGGCAATCAAATACTATTATATTGGTACTCTAACATGGCAATCACCAATAAATATTCGACATTTGGTGACGCCGATGATCTAGACACTGACATTAAATAGTTTTAAAGCTTAGGTTTGGTGAACCACCACTAAAATCCATTTGTTAAATAATTGAACCACGAGCTTGTTAGTGTATGTGTATCTATCTATACATAAAAAAAAATTCTTTTAGATTACTCACGTTGATAGCAAATCTTCACCTACCACAAACATTTTCTACTAACCATGACAGATGCACGTTAACTCCTAAGTACCACACGAATTATATGTAATCTAATCAAATAATCATACTCATCCACATATTATTTAGTCAGTCACACTAGTCATATTTCTCCGATTTTGGCTAGAGTCCACAAGTCTGATACCGTTAACAATTCATGAAGAACTAAACAAAATAGTTGTGAAAGTACGAGGACAGTAATTATAACTGACCTGACCAAATATGGCATTGGGAAACTTGAGACCCACGGCGTCTTCAAGCTCCTTCTTTAGCGTAGCTGCGCCTGAAATCATCATCCTCACGGAGCTTAGGTCGTATCTCTCCGTCTCTGGTGACTTAACGAATGTCAGAACAACCGGAGGAGCCACCGGAACCACCGTGACCTTATACCTCTGAATCAGCTCCATCACCAGGTTCAACTCGAACCTCGGCACGATCAAGATGGCCGCACCGGCCCTCATCGCCGAGAGCATTAACGCGTCGAGCGCATAAATGTGAAACATTGGGAGAAAACAGAGGATGACGTCATCTCCGGTGAAGTTGACGTTAGGGTTTTCTCCGTCTACTTTCTGAGCGATGCTCGTAACTAATCCCTTGTGAGTAACCATCACTCCCTTTGGAAGCCCCGTGGTCCCGGAAGAGAACGGCATCACCACCGTGTCCTCCGGTGAGATCTTCGGTTTAGGAAGCTCTGTTTCGTCCGCTTGAGTCAGTTCAGTGAAACTCACGCAACCGTCGAGTAACGAAGCGTCCTCGTCTCGGTCGTCTACGCAAACGATTAAAACGCCGTCGTTTTGAAGGTTTGTTAGTTTATCGGCGTAACATCGCTTCGTGATGATCATCTTCGTAGCGGAGGCTTTTGCCTGTTTTGCGATCTCCGACTGCGTATAGAACGGATTCGCTGTGGTAGATACGGCTCCGAGGTAAGCGATGGCAAAGAAGGAGAGAGCAAACTCCGGCGAGTTTGGGAGAAGGAGCATCACGGTGTCACGGTGACGGATCCCGAGCCGGTGGATCCCGGCGGCGATCCGCCGTAAATTGATTTGTACATCGGCGTAGGTAAAGATAAGGCCGGTGGCACCGTCAATGAGACATGTGGTGGTGGAATCGCCGTCGCCGTCGGAGAATTTCTGGAAGACGTAGTCGGTGAGAGGAAGGTGATTGGGGATGGAGATATCGGGAAGTTTGGATCGGAAAATGAAATCATGAGGATGTTCTTCTTGATCTATCTTCTTTGTGAGAAAAAGCGTTTGTTGTTGGAGCACCATTTGTGTGGAGATTCTAATTCTTCTTACTTCAAACAGAAAAAAACTTATTTTCAAAATGTAACGTCTGTTTTTTATTTTTCGTTTTATTGGGTTAAGTGATGATAAAGAAAATGGAGGATACCGGTATTTATACACTTTTTTTTTCTTTAGTATTAAATCCACTACTGATTTGTTTCCATTACATTCGATTTTTTTTTTAAAATGATTTTATCTATAAGCTATTGCTTTGTAGTTGGTGGGTGGGCCATTTTTACTGTTATTTTCATCACAATTATCATTAGTAGATTATAGACTTAATAGTAGATTATTTAGCATTTGTAAAACTATATGTGTAGACTTAACTTGATATTACAAAATAGAAATTTTAATTTATATGTAAAGTAGCTGCAAACAGTAGAATTTGGCTATGAATACAAAAAAAAATATATATATAATAATTTTGAATTTTAAAAGTAGTTTCATTATTTTTTTCGTATAAACGTTATATTTTTTTCTTCATTATTTTAAACATGTCACTAAGCTTTTTACGAAAGTATTATAGAGTTGATTGCGACTTCTGCTTCAAAGGACAATATTTTGCATTTTCTCGGTCAATAATGTTTGCTTTTCTTGTTTGTTTGTTTGATAGGATATAATTGTGTTGCTGTTATGGACAATTTACTAACAAGAGTAAGAAAATAAATTAGAGAATTGATATACATGAAAGTGAAGAATGCATGTATTTACGTATATTAGACCGAAAGGCAAAACATATATTAATAGGGATTTGTAAAATACATATATTATTATTCGGGTTCTAATTTGCATATGCATTTTGCTGAATAAACAAAAATATCTAACATTTAGTAATCTTCCAAACCAGCAGTTATGTATCATTATATCTTATTGGCCTTGTGTGAACACTGGACCAATAATCTAAACGAAGTTATTCCAATAACCATCTTTATAATATATCGTTTGAGATCATTTTACATTATTGACGATGGAGAGTTTGTAGGGAACATAGATTCATCCATAAGCGTGAAAGGCGACTATCTCACAAACAGAGTTAATTAAGAACCAAACGAATTAACAAGAACGTTAAGCCAAAAAAAGTTGTAACCAAGTGGTTTAGTTTTGCTGGTGATCCGGATTCCATAATCATGGATGTATTTATAGATTTGACTATCAAACTGACACGTGTTTTATTCCGAGTACTCAGTTTTCAAATAAACGTGGACTTTCATCCTCAGAAGTTTCCCCGAATCTGTTTTCCGCATAGCCTCTATTTTGTTCCTAGCTCATTACAAGAGCACGTACACCGTGTCCTTCTTAGATATTTTGAATTTTATATTTTTTTCTAATATAAAACTGATATTTCTATTGTTAAACATCACGTTTAGAGACTCAAAAGTCAAAATAATCAATATTTGATAAAAACCATAATTTGCTAACTTCTCTTCCCATCTAAGAGAGTTAATGTTGCTTGAGCTTGAGTAGAAAGTATGCAATCCAATAGGACAGTCAACCTTTTTGATGCTATGGTTGTTTCCTTGAGATGCAAGTATGCAGCCACTACCACTCCTACTAGGTTTTAAAATGGATTTTAACTTTATTAATATCTACTTTTGAGTTATTCAACAATTAACAATTTCTGCTAAATTTCAAATTTGATTTTTAACTTTCTTTAAACCCATCTTGTATAAATACGCCTTTGAGTCTTATAGAGGATCTCGTGATTCTTCTCTAACGCGTCCAAATCTTATAGAGGATCTCGTGATACATATTACCTAATTGTGTTCTAATAAGTCATACTTCGATAGTAACCGAGCTTTGATTTAGATTTGATTGGGTGATTCCTTTATAAAGGAATGAATGTGTCCTCAATAATGGACCAATGTGTAATAGTGTTAGGATTTTTTTTAAGTGTTAATAAAATTATGTAATCGCTAAAAACTGTTTATGTCTTTGTCGATGCATGTGTTATAATTTTGTTGTCACCAAATAACGAGTTGCAATTACCAATCAATATCCGCGTTTTTGTGACTCCGAATATTGACATTGGAAAAAAACAGTTGCAAAGCTATAACTTATGAACCACCAATAGTCTAATTTAGACCACAAAGTTGTTGATATCTCTCTCTCTATCATATATATTTCAACTTATATTTGGTTACTCTACCCTATTGATTAGAATAGTGACTAATTCTCACCTACCTCAAGCATATTCTAATTCTTCAATTAACTGGTCAGCTAGTTTTTATTTCTCTGGGATAAATCACCTCTTAACCGGTCAGCTAATTTTAAAATTGATTAAAAATGGAGTGAATATGGGTAGACAAATTGATTAAACGAACACAAAATAGTCTCATTAACTCCTAACTAACTATCTGAATGAAACATATTCTGTCTAATCAATTTGTCTACCCATATTAACTCCATTTTAACAAAGTTAAGTACTAAAAGAGCGTAAAGTTTTGTTTTATAAAAATGTTATCATTATTTTGTATTGCACTCTTAAAGAATGACACATCTAAATAATTATGATATCTTTTATGAATTATGCTGAATCATTCTAGATCCTTCTGCAGCCGTAGGGTCATTACCCATAGCTGTGGTCACACCTGGGCATCTTATCTATTACGATCTCATGAGTGGATTATATACTCTGTTATCGTCTCTAGTATATGACACTCGAGTCATCGAGTCCATTTTGTCAATAATTTAAGATGCTTATTCCTTTTTGGTGAATGTTGTTTTGCTATATATTTTTTTTTAATTTAGAAGCATTCATTGATGTATATTCTACATTATGTCATACTATATAGTAAGGTTGCATATTTCCAGCAGTATTGTTTTCCTTAAGCAACTTTAACGAAACAACAAAAATACATGGAAAACAGAGCAAATATTGTCCTGTACAAATGGTTTGTTCATAAATTATTTAGCTAGTCTTGCTCGAAGATCCTCATTGCTAGACTAGATTGATGAACCAAAACTAGCTAATAAATTGAAAAAAGCAACTTAACCTTTGTTCATCAACAAATCTTTTATTTGTGTCTGATAAAATTACATGCATCTACATTCATATATCATTTTAAAGTTGAGTTCATCAATCCCTTAGCTATAGTCTTGCTCTAAGATTTTTCCTCAAAATCTTCCCCGATGGAGCTTTAGGAACAGAGTCAGTGAAGAATACCATCCTGATTCGCTTGTAGTGAACCACCTATATAAATCATCACACCATTAATGAATTTAAAACATCTAAAATAATCCTTCATTATGTGTTCACCTGTGTTGAAGACCGACAGTGAAATCTCAAAAATGTTACCTGTTTGTTGACATAACTCTTGACATCATCTCCACTTAGCTGAGACCCCTCCGATCTTACAACAAACGCTACTGGAACCTCATCAGCTACTTCATCCTTCATTCTGAAAAATTCAAAAATCAATATAAACAATGAACATTCGAGTATGGAGTTGGAAGTTTTCAACATTTTGCTTTTGAACTCACGCGACAACGGCAGCATCTTCGATAAAAGGATGAGAAATAAGCAATGCTTCAAGCTCAGCTGGAGCCACTTGATAGCCTTTGAATTTGATCAGTTCCTTCAAACGATCAACAATGAAGACCTCATCGTCATCATCCACAAACCCAATGTCCCCTGTGTGTAACCATCCGTCTTTATCTATGGTTCGCGCAGTAGCCTCCGGATCATTCAAATAACCTAACAAGATCACATCCATTCTTTCTTGTCAAAGTATTTTTACAAGTAGAAAAACAAAAACAAAAACGGACAAAGCATTAACTGGTTTACCCTTCATGAGTTGATCGCCTCGGATGCAGATTTCGCCAGATTTGTTACGCGGTAAGGAGACTCCGGTAATGGTATCGATCACTTTCATCTCAGCGTTTCTGATCACAGTCCCGCACGCACCTGGTTTGGTCTTAAATGGCTTCTTTGCAAATGCCAGTGACTTAGCCACCACTCCTGCCTCAGTCATTCCATAACACTGAAAATGTATATATATATATATATATATATTTTGTTGTTACCAAAAATGTAAAAACGACATTGTTTGACATTGTCTACCACTGACGAGAAAACGCAACGAAATCATTTAACAGTTCCACAATCAATAAAGGTAGAGTTTAGAAAAAGATTAATGTCTTTCCAAATCTATTACTATTCAATAAGCATCCTAAGAGAATTCAGTCTGAAAAAGCAATAGTACTAAATTATTTCAATGTGTTGATTGTTTTGAAAATATCGAGTTAGGAGATCATAAATACATTTATTGATTGAGCCCGGGACAGCTCCATTAATTTTTTGGTTATAAGTTTTTATTTTTGATGAGATATACTGTAGAAAACGAGGGAGAAAACATAAATCAAATCTTTATAGATAAATTAATTATAAAAAGAACGTGAAACAAATCACAGCTCATGAATATTTTTCGTTATTTTATGTAGGGAAACAGATCAAGATCCCTGGATCCGTGCCACGGTTACCTGAATCATGGATCCGATCCATGGTTATCCGTGCCACATTTACTTACTGTGTAGGAAAAAAATTACTTTCTCCATTTTCAAATTCTTAAACTGAATTTCAATATTATCTCTATTATAGTGTTAGAAACACCCATGCAATGAACTCTCACCCACGAATTATTAGTCAATATCAATAGCCATATTCCTCGAATTTTGGAGATCTTAGAATAGAGTCCCTATGTCTAGTTGCACTAAAAGTTGCGAAGAAAATAACAAAACAGTTGTGAAAGCGAGGAAACTTATTAAAACTGACCTGACCGAAAATGGCATTGGGAAACTTGAGACGCACGGCGTCTTCGAGCTCCTTCTTGAGTGTCGCCGCACCTGAAATCATCATCCTCACGGAACTCAGGTCGTATCTCTCGGTTTCCGGGGACTTAACGAATGCTAAAACCACCGGAGGAGCCACCGGAACCACCGTGACTTTGTACCTCTGAATCAGCTCCATCACCAGATTCAACTCGAACTTCGGCACGATCAAGAGCGCCGCACCGGTCCTCATCGCCGAAAGCATCAACGCGTTAAGCGTGTAAGTGTGAAACATTGGGAGAAAACATAGGATGACGTCATCTCCGGTGAAGTTCAGATTAGGGTTTTCTCCGTCGACTTTCTGAGCTGTGCTCGTAACTAATCCCTTGTGAGTAAGCATCACTCCCTTTGGAGGCCCTGTGGTACCGGAGGAGTACGGAATCGACACCGTGTCCTCCGGCAAGATCTCCGGTTTAGGTAGCTCTGTTTCGTCCGCTCGTATCAGTTCCTTGAAATTCACGCAACCGTCGACCAACGAAACGTCGTTGTATCTGTCTTCAACGCATACGATTAAAATGCCGTCGTTTTGAAGGTTTGTTAGTTTATGGACGTTGCATCGCTTCGTGATGATCATCTTCGCGGCGGAGTCTTTTGCCTGTTTTGAGATCTCAGCCTGCGTATAGAACGGATTCGCGGTGGTGGAAATAGCTCCGAGGTAAGTGACGGCTAGGAAAGATAGAGCAAACTCGGGCGAGTTCGGAAGAAGGAGCATCACTGTGTCACTGTGGCGAATCCCTAGCCGGTGGAACCCGGCGGCGATCCGCCGTGAATAGATTTGTACATCGGCGTAGGTACAGATACGTCCGGTGGCACTGTCGATGAGACAAGTAGTGGTAGAGTCTCCGTCGCCGTCGCTGGAGAATTTTTGGAAGATGTAATCGGTGAGAGAGATGTGATTGGGGATGGAGATATCCGGAAGTTTTGATCGGAAAATGAAATCGTTAGAAGGTTCTTCACGATCTGTCTTCAGTTGTTGGAGTGTCATTTGTGTTTTTATTTCAAAGAAAAAAATAGACTTTTTTAAAATGTAACTTTGCATTTTTAGTTCTATCGTTTGATTAGGTTTTATAATGGTACGTTGGACTAGTCTATAAGTTATTGCTATGTTAGTGGATGAGTCATTTGTAATGTTCATTTTCCTAAATGGTTGTCAGTTTAGTCAATGGAAATAAGCTAGCCTTGGATGAACACTTGTCACCTGATATGAGAACATGCATTTAACCTTTGACCATCTTTTTAATATAGTCTTGATGGAGGCAGAGTAATTCAAGAGTGTAATTTACGATTCCGTCCAAGCCAAATGAGAAATAATAACCACCGTATAAATCACAAGGAAGAATGTTATTAACTTACTGTATAGTGTTATTTTATTTTATTTTGGTAAAACTGTATAGTGTTTTTTGTTTGATTACTACAAACATAACTAAAATTATTTATACTAACCTAAAAATTTTGTTTTTATTTTATTTTAAATTTAATGTTCTTTAGACGAGGAGATCCGATTTTGTAACACCTTTTACACGAGGAGCCATTTTTGGATGTGTTTTTAGAAAATCAAGATAAAATATACAGTATGTTGAATAAATGAAAGGGAATTTTTAATAAACACGTAGGAGACAAAAATCAAATATCTATAGATTCCTCAATTTTTAAAAGTACGTGAAACAAATCAAATCACAGGTACAGCTCATGAATATCAGTATACGTAGATTGTACATCAAAGAAAATCAAAATAAAATCACCAGCCACGATCATTGTTTATTTTTATATATAAGAGCCGGGGATGATTTAGATACACTTCTGACCAGCAACAAGAAGTGATTTTCAAACCGTTAATGCTTCTGATGCAATGATGCTCTGCAACCAAGACGGTCCATGTCTAGACTGATTCAATTCTCTCTGTCATCGTCATCCTCCCAAGGTCTCATACAGGGGCCAATTTAGAGCATGTTATTATTAATGGGGGCACTTTTTAGCAAATACAAAAATATTAAGCATAAAATAGAAAATTAAAAGGATCTTGTAAAAATGACCCATAAATTTAAGTCAATTGCTAAACTAACCTCCTATTTTATCACTTTTGAAATTAACCACTTTATCTCCCTTAGACCATCTCCATTGGTAAACCTTTTAATGAGGCTCTTAACTATTTTTTAATATAAATTTTCTATCACTTAGTTTTAAGAACCCTTGAAATATATTTTCATTTTTTATTCTTCCATTGGTACAATCTTTAATGGGTCTTTTACATATACAAAATCTATATTTTAAAAATTATTTTATTATAAAAAATAAAATTAATCCTACGTTGAACTTGTTAACAGCGGTGTGGGAGTACTCCTCTGTCTTATATCGGTAAATGTCATTCAGCTGCTTCAAGTCTATCCAAAAGTAGCTCCTCATGTGGTAGCTCAATGCATGAAGTCGCTTCACTATCTGTTCCACCATTTCTTTACCCTCTCCGTCATGTTTAAGTAGGAGCAAGGCACACTTTAAGGCCATAAAGAAAATGGTTTGAATCTCTATCGGATATCCATAAACTCCCTACAACACATAGAATTACACAAGATTAGAGAAATTGAAAATTGATGAAACCGCTATAGCTCAAAATATCACTAACTTTGAGAAGTCAGTGTCATCAACATCGTCCACTATAGATGAAGAATCAACATTCTTGACATCCCCGTTCTGATGTACATCCACATTCAGATTAAATGTCGACATTGCTCCAGGTTGAATCAAATACTAACCAACAGTCCAATGATCATGCCCTGCATTTCCAAAATCGATCAGATTCGTTTGCTCACAGTAAGGTACAATAAATAGCAATTTTTTCCTAAAATTCGTACAGAAATTTGGGGGAAACAGTGCACGACAATAGCATGATCAAACATGTAACAGGTTATAGACATGCTTAATTCGTTATCATCAGTTGAAACTCAAACTTCTCATTTTGATTCAGATCATATATATACATATATATATATATATATATATTTTTTTTTCCAGAAATCGTTGAAATACCAGAAGAATCCCAAAGAAACGTAATCAATACCAGAAATCGTTGAAATACCAAAATATGTCTATCATGAGCCTGATCAAGCTTAGAGACATCCATGAGTTGTCCTCTCGCTCTTCTCTTCCCTTCTTCATATGTTTTGCAGAACAAAGCAGTAGTGATCCTTTCAAATATTGGTAGTCTCTCAACAGCAGCCCATTGATCATCATCATCCCCATTTTCAGAAGCAGATACAGCTGTTTGAGCCATTGTCATTGACTGGAAACCAAACAAACCCAAGAAAGATATTACTTATACAAAGTAAGTTTGAGAAACTAGGCTTACAAACTAAATGATCACAACCATGATGATTCATGACGTGGTGGATACAAGTCAAAAGTCTTTCTTAATGAATTAAAATGACCAAAACCAAAAGCATTTCAGATAAATTAAAATGACCAAAGTCAAAAGTTTTTCGCATACACAAACCAAACTTGTAATTCGATACGGGAACACAAAAACACTATTGCATCGCCTAGAAAGGCGAAATCCAATCTACGAAAACTGCCCTGAGATTCCAATGATGCACATAAAGCTAATCATGAGCTACATCCATCAAAAACCCTTACTGGATTCATGCTAAAAATAGCACTTTTTTGAGACACTGTTCAAATTGAGAAAACCGGAGAGAGGAGAGTGTGAGAAGGAATCAAACCGTAGCCATCTTCGACGAGGAAATTGAAGGTATGGTGATCGCAGTTGTAAGTGAACTTGCTGTTGCTGGAGGAAGGAAGCTTCTGGAGACACTGAGCTGCGTCGAAGGGAAATTATCGGTGAAGTCGGTATACTCGGCCAGAACCATAGTTCTCAGCGCACCGATGAAATCAGAGTCGGATTATGGGGTTTCATTGTTTGGATTCTGAGCTTTCACCGATGAAATCAGAGTCAGATTATGGGGTTTCATTGTTTAGATTCTGAGCTTTCACCGATGAAATCGTAGACGAGGAAAGAGAGATTGTTGTTCTGATTTTCTTCTCTCTTTATTTTTTTTTAATAAAAATAAATCGTGTAACTACAGATTGACACGTATGAGTTTAAGAACGGGTCTGAAATTGCATGAATAAGAATCGGCTGTTAGAGATAACACAATTAAATCAATTTTTTAATATATTTTTAACTTAACAAACCCCCTAAAAAACGCTCTAAACACCCCGATGGAGATGCTCTTATATCCTTATTAGTTCTATTTATTTACGAAAATGCTATTAAATTATTGTTTTTTATTACTATTTCAGAAATTTATTTTACCAAACAATCCTCATCTTTTTCACTAATTCACGAAAATGCCATCACAATTTTCAACCAATTTGAAGCTTTTATTGCTTCAAAGACCCATTTTTTAGCTTTGTAACCTCATTTTCTCTTCTCTTAACCTTCTACTCTTCCATTTTTCACCATTTTCAGCACAAAAACTCTCTAATCTAAATTTTTGAAACTTGATGTTTTAATATATTGCCATATTTGGTGATTTGGTCTGGCAAATCGTTTGGGCTTGTTCGGTGGTGGCTGGAATCAAAGAAATCGGTGGTTGAATAAGTTAAATACCATTGGTAGGTGATTTTTCAGTCAATTTTCGTGAGTTTTCAGATCTGTGCCGCGAAAGTAGACTTCTCAAGAAGTCTGCTGGTCAATACACAAGTTAGTTTTGCAATTGATCGGGTGTACCAATTTCTGACAGTAGACTTCAGTTGAAGTCTGCGCCATTTTCTTTGACAAAAAAAATTGTGTAAACTTCAAAAGAGGTCTACGTAAAAAAGGGTTAGTTTTGCAATTGACCAACCTTTGACTTTTTCGTAAGAAGTCTACTCTTGTGAGTAGACTTCTTAGAGGTTAGTTTTGCAATTGACCAATGTTGACTTTTTCGAGTAGACTTCGCTTGAAGTCTACTTTTCCGAGTAGACTTCGTTAAGTAGACTTCAAAAAAGTCTACTCGAAAATAAATTCAATGTTTGGTCAACCTCAAAACTAACCCAAGTAGACTTTTGCAAGTGGACTTCTTACGAAAAAGTCAAAGTTTGGTCAATTGCAAAACTAACCTTTTTTTACGTAGACTTCTCGAGTAGACTTCTCGGAGTGAGTAGACTTCTTTGAAGAAGTCTACTCATCTTTTGGCAATTGCAAAAGTAACCTAAAATATAGACTTCATACGAAGTCTACATTTGTAGACTTCATTGCAAGTCTACTTTTGTAAACTTCGTTGTTAATCTACTATTTCACTTTTTTTATAAACGCATTTTTATCAAATTTACAACGAATTATTAAGATTTTTTTGGTCTTACGATTGTTTTAGCAAGTGTACTTACATTTGTACCAGTTTTACATATTTATATTATATATATATTTGGTGAAATCAAATTTCTTTTTTTATTTGGTATTTAGCTTATTAGTCCGTAGACTTCGTTTGCATTCTGCGACATTAATTTTTTTATTAAATTAATTGATCAAATATTTGTAACAAATAAAATTTATTCTTTGACTCTTAAGTGTGTATTATTTATTGTTATTACTTATGAAGGAGTTTGACATGTTTATTTGTTATAGTTTAGCTTTAATTAATTTTCTTGTTCTAATTGGTATTTAGCTTATTAGTCCGTAGACTTCACTTGAAGTCTACATAGTAGACTTCGTTTGCAGTCTGCGACATTAATTTTTTTATAAATTTAATTGATGAGATATTTGTAAAAAATAAAATTTATTATTTGACTCTTAAGTGTGTGATATTTATTGTTCTTGCTTATGTATGAGTTTGAAATTTTTTTTTGTTACAGTTTAGCTTTAACTAATTTTCTTATTTTATTTGGTATTTAGCTTAATAGTCTGCATACTTCATTTGAAGTCTACATAGTAGACTATGTTTGCAGTCTTCTTTTTTGACAATGAATTCTAATGTGGTTTGAATTTTGTTTTCTTACAGAGAATGGTTCACATACCCACTGTTTATTGAGAATGTGTGAAGAAAGACTAGTTGTGGTATTTCTAAGTAGTTTTACATTTTTTTTTGTTATGAGTTTTAGATGTTTTTGTATAGTTAAATTGAATTAATTTTCTTGTGTTATTAGAGGTTCAAATATGGTGATGACTAAGTCTGACAAAGAAATCTGCATATAAAATCTGAATATGATAAAACACACATAATTTAAGAATATATAAGAATAACATTAATTGCAATCCAACTTTACATGTAAAGTAGACCTTCTAATCAAACAAACATTTAAGGATCACTAATTATAAATCTTAAAATTAGCATATAAAAACAAAATTTCTGAAATAGATGTATGTGACAGAAGTTTGCTCGAGAAGTCTACTAGAGAAATCTGCAGCTGAAGTCTGCTTCCAACAAAAACAAAAGAGAAATAAATAAGCTAAGGTCTGCACAATAAGAAAAAAAAATGTTAAAATTTATATTTCAACAAAATATGCTATATATACAAACATCATATCTGCAGCAAAAGGGGAAAAAAATATCAGCTATGCAAAAAAAAAAATTATAGATCTGCAACAAAATAAACAAAATTCAGACCTGCAACAAAATAAACAAAATCAGATCTGCAACAACTAAAAATTCAGATCTACAAAAAAAAAAAATCAGATCTGCAACAAAAACAAAATCAGATCTGCAACAAATTCTACAAAATTTATACCATAAGAAGCGCATATTTTCAAGAATAAGCTCAGATCTACAACAAGAAGCTCAAATATGTAATAATAAACCCATATTTATAATATGAACACAAAACAAACAACAAAAGAAACACAAAACCTCAGATTTGCTTACCATCACCATAATTGAGATAGAGAGGATGGAGGATAGAGATGGGTTTGCTGGCAAGAGAGGAAGGAGAAGTGGCCAGAGAGGAGGTAGAGGAGAGAGAGGCATTTTTTAGAGGGAGAGAAAAACTTTATTTTTAACCCAATTAGGTTAATCTCCTTATATATGTAGGAAAATTTTCGGTTAAGTAAGTCTACTGGAGAAGTCTACTCGAAAAGTCTATTTCGGTATATTTTTTTGATTTCGATTCCTGCCTAATTTGTTCTGATTTCCGCCCAATTTGTTAAATAATTTTGATTTCCCGCTATATTTTTTTTAAGTCTACTAGAGAAGTCTACCCGAGAAGTTACTGCATAAGTATGTTTTCAGTAGTAGACTTCTTTAGTAGACTTCTAAGGAGTTGTATGTTTTCTAGTTAATTTTCTTTCTGTATTTAAGTTGATTCATTTGTATGAAATTTTGTATTCTATACATGTCAAATATATATGTCTTACTTATGTTTACCAAATTTTTAGAAATTTATTTATTTTATATTTTCTAATTAATTTTTAAAAAACTAATTATATAGTAGACTTTTTTTGAAGTCTACAACGATTGTAGACTTCTTACGTAGACTTCTCGAAGGATAAAATCGTAACTGTGGCAGATATTTTTTGTTTAGTCACAAAAGACTGAGCTGTAATTTTACTACCTCTTTGGGTTAGTTTTGCCAAGTATTCAACAAGGAGTCTACATATTGAGAAAAATCAACTTTTAGGTTATAAAGAGGAATTCCCCCAAAAATTAATGGGTGCACTGATATATTTTGGTTTAAATATTGTCAAAATTTAAAAAATAATGGATGCACTTGCATCCATAGTGATGTAAGTGGCTTCGCCACTGGTCTCATACTAATTAGAATTAGATATTATTTATATATTAGATCATTATTATCTAATTTTTCTATATGAGATTTGGATTGATATCCCAATATGTCATACTATAGGTAACATAATTCCACTAATTTTTGTTTTTATTTTTTGTTAAACAGCTTTGAGGAAACAAAAAATACAACCCTTATGTCTTTACCACATGAATACATAGAAAATAAAGCAAATATTGTCCTCTTTGTTCATCAAGCATTTAGCTAGCCCTTCTCTAAGATCCTTTTAGCTTAGATTGGTGAACCAATACAAGCTAATAAATTTTAAAAAATAACTTCCCTTTGCTAATCGACAATTTTTGTGTTTACGTGCATAGATCATTTTAAAGTTCCATTAGCTAGTCTTGCTCTAAGATCCTTTCTTAATATCTTCCCTGATGGAGATTTAGGAACAGAGTCAGTGAAAAACACCATCTTGATTCGCTTGTAATGAACCACCTATATAGATCATCACACACCATTAATTTAAAGCATCTAAAAGGATATCCATGTTCCCCATGTTAAAGAACCGACAATGAAATCTCAAAATCTTACCTGTTTGCTGACATAATTCTTCACATCATCTTTAGTTAGCTGAGACCCTTCTGATCTAACAACAAATGCTACCGGAACCTCTCCAGCAACTTCATCCTTCATTCTGAAAACTCAAATACAAATAGAAATGACAAACATTCGAGTATATAGTTGGAAGTTTTGAGATATGTTTTTGAACTCACGCGACAACAGCAGCATCGTCGATATAAGGATGAGAAATAAGCAATGCTTCAAGCTCAGCTGGAGCCACTTGATAGCCTTTGAATTTGATCAGTTCCTTTAACCGATCAACAATGAAGACCTCATCGTCATCATCCACAAACCCAATGTCCCCTGTGTGTAACCATCCGTCTTTATCTATGGTTCGTGCAGTAGCCTCCGGATCATTCAAATACCCTAACAAGATCACATCCTGTCAAAGTATTTCTACAAGTAGAAAAAAATATAAAAAGAACAAAGCATTTAACTTTTTACCTTTCATGAGTTGATCGCCTCGGATGCAGATTTCGCCAGGTTTGTTACGCGGTAAGGAGACTCCGGTAATGGTATCGACCACTTTCATCTCAGCGTTTCTGATCACAGTCCCGCACGAACCGGATTTGGTCTTAAACGGCTTCTTTGCAAATGACAATGACTTAGCCACCACTCCTGCCTCAGTCATTCCATAACACTGAAAATGTTTTTTTTTTTTTTCGTCATTACCAAAATGTAAAAGCAACATCATTTGACATTATCCACCAGGACCACCACTGACAAAGTCATGAAGTGATGAGAATAGGCAGCGAAATCATTTAAGAATCTCTCAGTATACACAAAAAGAAGAAGACAAAAATCAATTATTTAATTTATACATAAATAAATTTTAAAAAGAATGTGAAACAAATCACAGCGCGTGAATACAAGCTTTGTCAGTGGTGTGTTTGAAGTAAGAAGAAATACAGTCTATACAGAGCTTGTACAGCAAAACAGTAAGAAAATCAAAATTAAGTCTTCGCCAACCACAATTATTGTTAGTGTATCTCTATATTCTATACATAAAAAAGGAAGAAAAAAACTCCATTGCGACAAGTTTTCACCAATTACAAACTCCGTTGCTTCTTTAACTATGAGTCATGTGAAATCTAATCAATTCCTCTAGCTCAATCCATTCTCTAGTAAATTTACTCACCCATATTTCTCGGATTTTAGAGATTTCTTAGACTAGAGGACTCCCTATGTATAGTTGCACTTAAACTTATGAAGAATATAACAAAACAAGTTGTGAGAATGAGGATATTAATTTAGATTTTGAAACTAACCTGACCTAATATGGCATTGGGAAACTTGAGGCGCACGGCGTCTTCGAGCTCCTTCTTGAGCGTCGCCGCACCTGAAATCATCATCCTCACGGAACTCAGGTCGTATCTCTCAGTTTCCGGGGACTTAACAAACGCTAAGACCACCGGAGGAGCCACCGGAACCACCGTGACTTTGTACTTATGAATCAGCTCCATCACCAGATTCAACTCGAACCTTGGCGCGATCAAGAGCGCCGCACCGGTCCTCATCGCCGAAAGCATCAACGCATTGAGCGTGTAAGTGTGAAACATTGGGAGAAAACAGAGGATGACGTCATCTCCGGTGAAGTTAAGATTAGGGTTTTCTCCGTCCACTCTCTGAGCGATGCCCGTAACTAATCCCTTGTGAGTAAGCATCACTCCCTTTGGAAGCCCCGTAGTCCCTGAGGAGTACGGAATCGACACCGTGTCCTCCAGCGAGATCTCCGGTTTAGGAAGCTCTGTTTCTTCCGCTTGAATCAGTTCTGTGAAACTCACGCAGCCGTTGACCAATGAAACATCGCCGTCTTCATCTTCAACGCAAACGATTAAAATGCCGTCGTTTTGAAGGTTTGTTAGTTTATCGACGTAGCATCGCATCGTGATGATCATCTTCGCGGCGGAGGCTTTTGCCTGTTTTGCAATCTCAGACTGCGTATAGAACGGATTCGCGGTGGTGGAAACGGCTCCGAGGTAAGTGACGGCGAGGAAAGATAGAGCAAACTCCGGCGAGTTCGGGAGAAGGAGCATCACTGTGTCACGGTGGCGGATCCCGAGCCGGTGGAAACCGGCGGCGATCCGCCGTGAATAGATTTGTACATCGGCGTAGGTAAAACTACGTCCGGTGGCACTGTCGATGAGACAAGTAGTGGTAGAGTCTCCATCGCCGACACCGGAGAACTTTTGGAAGACGTAATCAGTGAGAAGAAGGTGATTGGGGATGGAAATATCGGGAAGTTTGGATCGGAAAATGAAATCATTAAAAAGTTCTTCTTGATCTGTCTTCACTTGTTGGAGCACCATTGCCCTAGAGACTGTATTTCTTCTTACTTCAAACATACACAAAGCTTCTTCCAAAATGTAACGTTGGCCTTTTTAGTTTTTTCGTTTGATTGGGTTTTTCATAATATGGTGATTATAATAATATTATAAAGAAAACGGACGAACCCGATTTTTTTTAAAAAAATTATTAAATTTTTTTATTAAATCCATTATTGATTTATTTCCATTACATTTGGTTTTGTTGATGATTTTGTCTATAAGCTATTGTATGTTGGTGTGTGGGTCGTTTTTACTGATCATTTTCGTCACAATTATCATTTTACTTTTAATTGTAGGAATAGTAGATTATTTAGTATGTTTTAAACTATACAAAATTAATTTTAAAAATTGGATACTTATGGTAGCCACAAAACAATAAAATTTGACTATAAAATACAAAAGTTTGATAAATTTGATTTGAAAAGTATTTAAATTGCCATACCTTTTCATATAATTTTTTTTTCCTTATTATTTTAAACGTGACAAGATTTGTACCAAACTGAGAATATTATACAGTTGACTGTGACATGTCCCAAAACTTTTTAATCAATAATTGCTTTCGTGTTTGTTTGTTTTTTGACAGTATATCATTTGTACAGCTATAACAATTTATAATTACCCCAAAATAAAATAACTGTACAATTTAATAGCAAGATCGGCCAAAAAATCATTAATATAATATTTTTTCGACCAAGTATTATTTAAGATAACTAATATATACATGAAAGTGAGGAATGCATGTATTTATATGTATATTAGAGAATTATAGAGTCAAGTGGTTTATAATAAATATGCATATATTATTATATGGATTCAAATTTGCATATGCATTTTGTTGGATGAACAAAATATCTATACATCAAGAAACTCATTTGATTAATCAAGTCTCTAAGCCATTGCACATTTGCTGACTATCTCTTAGATCAGTCTTAATAACTTCCCTGCTTCTTACTTACTTTTTAAAGACTTCAATCTTCGAGCTAACACATGCATTCCAAACTCTCTTGTGTCTATTTAAGGTACTCGGTTTCCAATTTAGCTCGGAGTTCCTTCCTTAAAATCTTGCCTGAAACTGCTTTAGGTATGGCTTCTATGAAAAACACCATCTTGATTCGCTTGTAGTGAACCACCTATATATATCATCAAACCGTTCATTTAAGACATCTAAAAAGTTTCCATAATTGCGTGTTTCCCATGTTGAAGACACTAGTGAAATCTCAAGATGTTACCTCTTTGTTGACGTAACTCTTGACATCATCTTCAGTTATCTGAGACCCTTCCGATCGAACTACAAACGCTACTGGAACCTCATCAGCTACTTCATCCTTCATCCTGAAAATTCAAATACCATTAGAACTATGAGCAGTACGTAGAGTTTGGAGTTGGAAGTGTTCAACATTTTGTTTTTAAACTCACGCGACAACAGCAGCATCATCTATATAAGGATGAGAAATAAGCAATGCCTCAAGCTCAGCTGGAGCCACTTGATAGCCTTTGAATTTGATCAGTTCCTTCAAACGATCAACAATGAAGATCTCACCATCATCATCCACAAACCCAATGTCCCCTGTGTGTAACCATCCGTCTTTATCTATGGTTTGCGCAGTAGCTTCTGGATCATTCAAATACCCTAACAACAACATTGCACCAATTTTTTTTCTCTATTAACGTGTTCTACAAAGGGAGGAAAAAAAATAACAGACACAAACGTGATTATTTATCGTTTTACCTTTCATGAGTTGATCGCCTCGGATGCAGATTTCGCCAGATTTGTTACGCGGTAAGGAGGTTCCGTTAATGGTATCGACCACTTTCATCTCGGCGTTTCTGACCACAGTCCCACACGCACCAGACTTGGTTTTGAATGGGTTCTTCGCAAACGCCAGTGACTTAGCCACTGTTCCTGCCTCAGTCATTCCGTAACCCTGAAAGTGTGTGTGTTTGTTTTTTTTTTGTAGTTACCAAAAATGTTAAACCGACAAGATTTGACAGTATGCACTTATGCACTATCATATCCGATTAACTAGGACATGAACTATTAAACGGCAGCAAAACCATTTAACAGAGTTCGATCCAAAACTGCAATTAATTAAACCATACTCCCCGTTTCACTTTCACACTTTTCACACAAATTAAGGAAATCATTAAAAGTTTTTTTACCTTTTGTTTATACACAAAATAACATTCTCTTTCTAATTAATACATTAATATAACAAAATTAAAACATGATGGGGTGTATTGAAACTAAAACAAGGTTAAAACATGATGTGGTGTATTGAAACTAAAATTTTAGAGAATTTTTAAAAAATGAGTTTTAATGAAATTTTAGATGATTTTATATGGATTAGTGAAGTTGATATGATTTGATACTAAAATTATATGAAATCCCACATAAAACAATGGGATTTAGTTTTCTATATTTTTAACTAACAAACTCCACCAAATCATTTAAAATTACTCAATATTTTGTAAAATCCACTATTTAAAATATTTCCAATAACAGTGAATTTGATTTGGTTTTTAGAAATTTTTGATTGAATAACATGAATGTTGAAGTGATTTTAATTGGTTTTATATAAATTTCATGTTCAATAACATGGACTTTGGTAAGACATTTAAAAATTATTAGTTGAATAATATGAAATTTTTAAATAACCACAAAGTTTTCTAAAAATTCTGTTTTAATACACCCCCGATTTTTATTTAAAAATTTGCATTGAAAATACAAAAGGACACAATTTGTAAAAAAAAAAAACTCTAAAACGACATATATTAACTGTCACAATGGGGTTCATCACCATGTGAGGTGCTCGTCGTAGTTGATTTTTTTTTTGGGAGGGGGGGTATAATATTAGTTGAACTAATTTTGGTAGGTAGTAGTTAAGTTTTCTTGTATGATCCCATAATCTATTAATAAGTTGATACTCAGTTTCCTGAACTCCATTTTTTGCAAACTAGATCCGTCACTAATCCATTTATTAAATAAAGACCACGAGATTGTTAGTGTACCTAGCTTATATATGTATACATAAAAATTACATTTGATTAATTACTCAAATCTCAACAAATCTAATGATACGAAGACGACAAATGCAGGTTAATTAACTACATTATCTTCACCTACCACACGCATTTTTACTAACCATCCTTGCTTATTTAACTAATGATACGAACATAACAAATGCACGTCAACTCCTAATTAAGCACCACATGAATCATATGTAATCTAATCATATCATCCATTCTCTACTCTCTAGTATATTAATTATTCAAGAATTATTAGTCAATCACAACCGTCATATTTCTCGGATGACGATTTACACTAAATTTATGAGGAAAATAATTGTCAAAATGAGAGGAAACTAACTAAAACTGACCTGACCAAATACGGCATTAGGGAACTTGAGGCGCACGGCGTCTTCGAGCTCCTTCTTGAGCGTAGCCGCGCCTGAAAGCATCATCCTTACGGAGCTCAGGTCGTATTTTTCCGTCTCTTGTGACTTAACGAACGCTAAAACCACCGGAGGAGCCACCGGAACCACCGTGACTTTGTACCTCTGAATCAGCTCCATCACCAGATTCAACTCAAACCTTAGCATGATCAATATCGCTGAACCGGTCCTCATCGCTGAAAGTACCAACGAGTTAAACGCGTAAGTGTGAAACATTGGGAGAAAACAGAGGATGACGTCATCTGCGGTGAAGTTGAGATTAGGGTTTTCTCCGTCGACTTTCTGAGCGATGCTTGTAACTAATCCCTTGTGAGTAATCATCACTCCCTTTGGAAGTCCCGTGGTTCCGGAGGAGTACGGAATCGACACCGTGTCCTCAGGTGAGATCTCCGGCTTGGGAAACTCCGTTTCGTCCGCTTGAGCCAGTTCCGTGAAACTCACGCAACCGTCGACTAACGGAACGTCGTCGTCTCCGCCTTCAACGCAAACGATTAAAACGCCATCGTTTTGAAGGTTTGTTAGTTTATCGACGTGGCATCGCTTCGTAATGATCATCTTTGCGGCGGAGGCTTTTGCCTGTTTTGAGATCTCAGCCTGCGTATAGAACGGATTCGCGGTGGTGGAAACGGCTCCGAGGTAAGCGACAGCGAGGAAGGAGAGAGCAAACTCCGGTGAGTTCGGGAGAAGGAGCATCACCGTGTCACGGTGGCGGATCCCGAGGCGGTGCATTCCCACGGCGATCCGTCGTGAAATGATTTGTACATCGTTGTAGGTAAAGATACGGTCGGTGGCACCGTCTATGAGACATGTGGTGGTGGAATCGCCATCGCCGTCGCCGGAGAATTTCTGAAAGACGTAATCGGCGAGAGGAAGGTGATTTGGGATGGAGATATCGGGAAGTTTGGATCGGAAAATGAAATCGCTGGAAGGTTCTTCTTCATGATCTGTCTTCTCTTGTTGGAGCACCATTTAGTCGAATAAAATCTTTACTTAGAAAGAAAAAAAAGGAAGACTTCTTTTCAAAACTTTAAAACGTCGGGGGTTTTTTATTGTTATGGAAATTTTAAAGTTATACTCAAAAGAAAATAATAAAATATATAAATAAATACACAATTTTAATTACAAGTTGGGTTAACAAAACAACTAATAATTTGATTACGTTAAACAATAACACCACCTACTCGTGTGTTTTTGTCAATGTGTCGTTGATGTATCCATCTTCGTTTGATCTCGCATATTGTCCAAAAAAAGTTATAAACGTTAAAAAATCTTACGTGCCACCTAGTAGTTACATATCTAAAAAAATATTTCAATCTAATAATTCACATATGCCACGCCATACTATATAATGCACATTTGTCACGCCACAAACAAAGAAAACATATATCTGGCAAATCCTTTACAAATTTGCAAGAAAATATTTCCTAACAAATAGGTTATTACTTAATAGCTAATCGCTTGCAAATTTTTACGAGGAATTATGTTAATAACAAATCCATCGCAAATTTACTTATGAACTCAGTGGATTCTCTTCTCTGTTATCATCTCCATAGTCTTTAACAATGTTTTTGGTTCAATAATTTAAGATGCTTATTCCTTGTCGGTGAATGTTGTTTTATTTTGATTCTAGTTTTGGTAATTGTTGTTTTAACCAATTTTAAAGGAAACAAACAAATACAACCATTATTTTATATCATCTCACAAATACAAAGAAAAATAGAGAAATTAAACATTGTCCGGCAAGTTTCTCTCATTTTTTTTTAACAACGAATCCATTTGCAATTAAGTATATACACATTATGGATCATTATAAGCTTAGTTGGTCAAATCCATTTGCAAGTCTTGCTCTTAGATCCTTCCTCAATATCTTTCCCGATGGAGCTTTAGGAATGGAGTCAGTGAAGAACACTTTGTTGATTCTCTTGTAAAACACAACCTGTGTCCCAAATATAAACGTGGAGATCTCAAAATCATCCAACAAAAAAGTGGATTATTATTTACATTAAAAAAAAAACAATATAATTACCTGTTTTGACACGAATTGTTTGATCTCATCTTCAGATATATTAGAATCTTTCGACCTCACCACAAATGCAACAGGAACCTCACCAGCATCTTCTTCTTTCATTCTGCATGTCCAACAAAAACAATCAGGGAAGAAGACAACAACAAAAAAACAGAGTTGAGGATTATTTTTTTATTTTTTTGAATTTCACATACGCGACGACGGCGACATCGTTGATGTCTGTGTGAGAGATGAGGAGAGACTCAAGCTCCGCCGGAGCCACCTGGAATCCTTTGTACTTGATTAATTCTTTCAATCGATCGACGATGAAAAGCTCGTCGTCTTCGTCGACGAATCCGATGTCTCCGGTGTGAAGCCAACCTTCTTCGTCGATGGTAGCGGCGGTGGCAGCCGGATCATTGAGGTAGCCTTTCATGATCTGGTGGCCGCGGATGCAGATTTCGCCGGAATTGTTCCGAGGAAGAGATTCTCCGGTGTCTGGATCAACGATCTTCAACTCGGCGTTCCTAACGACTGTACCACAGGCTCCTGATTTCACCGGGAAAGGCTCTTTAGCGAACCCTAGCGACATTGCTAGCACCGGACCCGCCTCTGTCATCCCGTAGCCCTGCTCCCAAAAAAAAATAAAACACGCGCCGTTTTTTAAATTTTTTCTTATTGACTTCAACAAAACGTAGTCGTTTTGACTACAGAACTTAATATACAAATTGAGAGTGAACTACTTTTCTTATCATACCATAACTAATGTAATGGAACTTGTAGGTGGATTCCAAATGTAAAATATAAAATGATGGTTGTATTTGTGAGGTTGTATTGTATTTCCAGTTTGAAGTTTAATATAAAACGAGGTTTGACAAAAAAAAGTATCATACCATTCTCAGAAAACGGAATAATTCAAACACAAATCTAGTAATTTATACCCAATAAATTAAATAACTGAAAATATTAAAACACGTAATTGGCATTGCATAATTTGAATAATAGTAACTATTATTTGTTCTTTTACGAGCCACCCACCAGTTTCATCTCACCTACTCAACAAATAATTAAAAACCACAAAATCACTTTTTGAAGAAAAAAATTAGAACTTTATAGACTTATAGATGGAATTAGAAAAATGGTATCGACTTGTTAAGAGATGATGACCATTCACTATGCTAATTGGTTATCATCCTCAATGATTATCTTTATACGCTAAACTACCTTTACTAATACTGGAACTTGTATGTGGATTCCAAATGTAAAAGTTTGATCTTGCAAATTAAATCAAATGGGTCCAAATTCCACATGCAATGTCTAATATTCATATTTCGGAATTTAAGGGAGACAAATAAGAATCATGTGATAAAGTTCGTGGAATTTGCTTTCCATAAATAACTAAGTACTAACAGCCATAAAAAATTAATTTCACAAATATAACAAATGAATGATCAAATATATCAAAACATGCAATGCAAAAAAAAGAAAGAAAGGACAAACCTGACCAAGCCTGGCGTTAGGAAACTTAGCACTAATGGCATCTTCAAGCTCCTTACCAAGAGGAGCCGCACCTGACTTTATGACCCTAACCGAGCTCAGGTCGTACTTCTCCGTCTCCGTCGACTTCGCGATGGCCAAAACGATCGGTGGCACGACCATAGCCACCGTGACTTTACACCTCTGGATCTGCTCTAGCAAGAGACTGATCTCGAATTTAGGCATGATCAAGATGGTGGCACCGACTCTGAGACTACACAGCATGATGGAGTTGAGTGCGTAGATGTGGAACATAGGCAAGACGCAGAGGATCACGTCCTCTCTGTGGAAGTATAGGTTCGGATTCTCGCCGTCGACTTGCTGCGACACGCTCGTGACGAGACCCTTGTGTGTTAGCATCACTCCTTTTGGGAGACCCGTCGTGCCTGAGGAGTAAGGGAGCGCCACGACGTCGTCCGGCGAAATCGAGGTGTCTCGGGGGTGGATATCTTCTTCTAAGGACTGAGTCAACTCGGAGAAGCGGAGGCAGCCTTCGGGGACGGCGGAGGAGATGTCGTCGTCGTCTGTGCAGACGATTAAGACGCCGTCGTTTTGGAGGGTTTTCAGTTTATCGACGTAGCGGGATTGGGTGACGATGAGCTTCGCGGCGGAAGCTTTGGCTTGCTTGGAGATCTCCGCCGGAGTGAAGAAAGGGTTCGCGGCGGTGGTGATTGCGCCGAGGAAGGATGCGGCGAGGAAGGTGAGGACGAATTCCGGAGAATTCGGGAGGAGGAGCATCACAACGTCGTGTTGGCTCACGCCGAGTTTGAGGAGCCCAGCGGAGATTTTGCGGGACGTCGCGTGGACGTCGGCGTAGGAGTAAACTTCGCCGGTGGGGCCGTTGATCAAACATGGCTTAGCGGCGAACTCAGAGATGTTTTCGAAGATGTAGTCGTGGAGGGGAAGGTGGTTAGGGATGTAGATATCTGGTAGCTTTGATCGGAAAATGACGTCACTACTACTGCTCTGTTTCTGATCAGTGATCATCGCTTCTTGTGGCGACATTATACGATTTTAATTCCAAAGTACCTGAATTTATTTTTGGGAATAATAGAAAGCTTTGTTCTTCTCAAAAAATGACTGAGACAGATCATGATCGGTGTTCTATATATAAAAGAAAGAATCACCGGAGAAAGGAAGAAGACAACAATGGTGGGGGTTGGTGAAAGGGTATTATTGTAATATTTTTGGCTTTTCAGGTGGGGGCCCTTTCGTATTCATATGCAACGACGATGATAGGTCACAGTCGCAAACTTGCAATCTCAATCTCAAGTTAAAAGTAAGAGAGTTTGGTGAGCTATATTTGTAGCATTATCCATGCTAAAAATTTCAATTTACTGTTTGAAAACGAAGTTTTAATTTTATTTCTTTTCCTCAATACTACAATTGAAGATGATCATGTGTGAATTACAATCTCGGAGACTTTTTAAATGTGGAGTTGGAGATTCTGAGAAGAGCTTCCTCTGCAACTTGCCCAATACTCAGCAACAAGCTTGGAGAAGTACGAATCAGTCTCCATCAGCTTCCAAGGCTCGTCATACTCCACAAGATCACCTGTCGAAGTTCAAACCAAAAACCAAACCCTATGCTCATGATGAGTTTGATTTTTGAACACACTGATCAAACCAAAACAAGAATGAGATTCTATCTTAGAGAGAGAAAAAAAAGTATGTTTACCAAAGGAGAGAACCATGACCATGTCACTGTCTATGACCGTTGGTACTCTATGAGCAACTGTTATCACCGTGCAATCTGCAAACTCCTCTCTTATGATTCTCTGTATGATTGCATCAGTTGCTGAATCAATGGACGCTGTAGCTTCATCCAACACCAGTATTTTGTTTCTCTTCAACAGTACTCTTCCCAGACAGAACAGCTGTCTCTGTCCCACGCTCCAGTTCTCTCCTTCGTCACTCACTTCTCGTTTCGTCCCACCAACAACCAAATATGAACATCAGCAAATTTTATTTTGTGAAATGAAAAAAACATGACTGTTTTTTTCAATTACCTGAAGAATCAAGTTTGTTAGGCAGATTGCTAATCGTTGTCTTGAGCTGGCATTTCTCGAGAGCCTGCACTTAAAAGGATTGGTTTATCAGAGAGGTTCTAAATCTTTAATACAGAAATCCCATTCTTGGTTCTTTGTTTTCACCTTCCATATCTCATCGTCGGAGTAAACACCTAAAGGATCAAGGTTGGTCCTAATGCAGCCACGGAAAAGAGTTGGCTCTTGAGGAATGATGCTGAGTTTCATTCTCAGGTCTTTTAGGCCAATCTTACTTATGTCAATGCCATCAATCAATATGCAGCCACTTGCCGGTTCTACTAAGCGAAACAAAGCACTGATCAAAGTGCTCTTCCCACTTCCTGTCCTCCCCACAACTCCTACTCTCGTCCCTTCCCTGAATGTGCAAGAGATTCCTTTGAGAACCAACGGAGCATTTGGTCGATACCTTACCTGAAATTAACATAAGAAGCAACGCAATGCTTTTAGCATAGCTTAAAACCATCATCTGCTAACAAGTAATGTAACTTCTTACCTTAAGCTCCTGCAAATGAATTGTACCATTAGAAGGCCATGAGGAAGGTGGTCTACTATCATCAACAACTGCAGGAGGTTCCGCTGGTATGCTCATATACTGTTTTATCCTCTCGACCGAAATGATGGAATTCGACAAGGTACAGTACCATCGGGTAAGAAACACCTGAGTTAGTGTCAATGTTAATGCATATGAGAGTGAAAGCCCAACTAGACCTGCAACAAAAAGGCACAAAGTTCATGTAGAACCTTTCAGTTTATTGAATATCTTGAAAAAAAATTGAACAAAATTCTTCCAAAGGATAAACTATGAAACAGGTAAAGTTAAGAGTGCAAATCGCTGGACGAAGTCATGAGTTAAACAATTCAAGCACCTGGAGCTATGTAGCCTTTAGGAATAAGAATAAGCAGAAGTGCACAGGTGAACAAAGTCACATTCTGCAGAGTCTCTATCCTCAGAATCACCCACTCCATGGCTGCATTAGAAAGAAAGAATAGCACCGCATCTCCGTCTACGAGTTTAAGGTAGTTTTGAAAGAATCTATCTGCTGTTCCAAAAGCTCGTATTGTCACCACTCCAAGTGAGGTTTCCGCAGCGTAATTCATCACTGGAGCTTTGGTTGTTCCGTTGATCCTAATCAGCTCCCTTGCAGAGGCTAAATAGTAATCCTTTTGTTCAGAGAAGAAGGCAGGTGTTAATAATGATTTCTTTGCTGCATAAACCAGCTAAAAAAAAAGTTCAATCAAAATATGTACCTGAAAAACTTTCGTAGCGGCCAAGGCAAGAAGAGCTATGATAATGACTTGCCATGTGACATATGTCATGATGATAAGAGCAGCAGCGAGCTCAACTGCTGGTGACACCACAAATATGAATGCAAATGGAATGTCAAAGTCCAAGACGTTCAAATCAGACGATGCCTGCCAATGGTACATTCCCAATTCTATCATCATACATTGAGTTGTAATGTTATTCATATTCATGTAAAGCAAAGCCATCTTACTCGGGTGAGAATGCGTCCTACTGGAGTAGAATCAAAGAAAAGCATTGGGGCTTTGAATACTGCATTTGTGAAACCAGAGAAGAAAGCTTTTGAAGCTTTTAGTCCAAGATGGGCTGTCGTAAGAGCTCTCGCGTATACAAAACCAGCACTAAGAGCTGAGATGATGCTATAGACCCCAATAAGCAAAGTAACACTGAGTTTTGGGATCCCAATACCATAAGCAAGCCAGTATGTTGATGCAGCCTGAAAAACTACAAAGCCAACCTGACCCAATACGCTTGACCACATAAGAAACCATCCTCGGGAGACACGGATGTAGTCCAAGAAAGGCTTCAACCCAACATTACCCGTCTCTTTTTCTTCTTCCTGTGTAAGTTGTACCCCTAGAATATCTGTTGTTGCGATCTCTTCTTCTATTTTTTCGACAACCTCGATGTTTCCTATCTCTCTGTCTCTACCTACTTTCTTAAGATCTCCCAGGCTTTCATTATTAGCTAAAGGTAACACAGTTACTGAATCATTATGAGCATTCACCAGCTGTTTGAATGCAGTCCCCATCATTAAGAGCTCCTCATACTTTCCTGACTGAGTGATTCTTCCTTCCTCCATAACCTGATCAAGATCATTTATCATTAATAATCCATAATTAAGGCATAGACAGTCTTTTTTTTTTTATCTGCTGCTACTCAAGTTTTACCAGAATTTGATCAACTTCTGAGAGAAACTCGACTTGGTGAGTGACCAGAATGACAGTTTTCTCCCTCAGCGAGTCCTCAACACATTTCTGCAGTCACAATTAAACATATAAAGAAGCAGTCAGACTTTAGGAAAAGCTTTTTCGTAAAGAATGTTATCACTAACATGAAAAAGAACTCCAGCTGTATGCGCATCCACGGCACTAAATGGATCATCAAGGAGGTAAACATCAGCGTCTGCATAGACAGCACGAGCAAGCTGAATCCTTTGTTTTTGTCCTCCACTCAAGTTAATCCCTCTTTGTCCAATTTCTGTGAGGTCACCATGTCCAAAATCATTTATGTCCTTATCCAACGCACATGCTTCAATAGCAGCATTGTATCGTCTAGTTTCCATGGCATTTCCATAGAGGATATTGTCCCGGATGGTACCACTTTGGATCCAAGAGGTCTGAGAAACATAAGCGATGGACCCAGAGACCTTTACCTGTTTCAACGTAAAGGAAACGCTTTTCAACAAATGGACTTAAACTGAATGAACAAAGCGAAACTCAGTGTTGGTGACTGCTTTGCTTACAGTTCCAGAAACTTTAGGTATTTCTCCGAGTACTGCATGCAACAGCGATGATTTTCCTGCTCCAACTGGTCCACAAACCGCAACTTTGTCCCCACGCTTGATTTCCAAATTTATATTTTTTAGAGTTGGAATCTTAGTCTCTGGATCCCAACTGAAATCACCTGCTTGTATGTCAACTGTTGCTCCAGATTTCTCCAGACCACTTCTTTCAATTTCATCAACCTTGAGCTCGTCGTCAAGCAAAAAGTTGTTTATTCTGGCGAAAGAGACATTGACTTGGATGATAGCAGAAATTGCCTCAGGTATCATTCTTACAGGATCTGACATAACTCTTAGCGTAGCCAAAACCGTGAAGATGGTGCTTGCGTTAAGTGGCGCGCTCTTCAATAGAGCACATCCCACGAAAATGACAGAAGAAACTATTGTTGGAGACATCCAATACAGGAAAGTACCAAACGCCTTTGTCAGCTGAGCCTTGGCCAACCATTTGAACTCATCAGCACGAGAAGTTTCTATCTGTTTCTTGAACTCCTCTTCCCATGACTGCAGCTTGATGACTTTCATACTGTTCAGAATCTCTGAGGTGGACCTTAATCGCTTGTCCTGCGCAATCATGAATTGGGTCTGGCAGTTCTGCAGCATCTTTGCAAATGGAAGATTCAGGAGACCACACAGGAGAAGAAGAATTAAACCCGGTATAGCACCTGCTCCAACCACTCCAAAAAGCACAGCTGTGGAAAGCAAAAGCTGCAGCGTAAGGCTCCATCCCGTGTGGAACCACCACAAGAACTCTCCCATTCGATATGCATCCACTGCGATGTAATTCACAATCTCTCCAGATGAATGCCTTTTCCTTCCCAAGCTTGATAGCTTTAGCTGCTTTCTGTATGCAGCTACCATTAGCGCTGATCTGATTCTCATCCCTGATCTTCTCGCTGCAAAATACCAATGTCGCATTGACAAGGATTCCACTAGCTTCAGCATTACTAGACAAGCTAAGTTGAAGAACCCATTGCGGAGATCCCTATGATCACTGTTTGCATAATCCACAAAGACATATAGCATTAGTGGAAGAGCTACAACAGCAACAGTTCTGAGTAAGGCACAGACTGCTGTGAATATGTTTTCCTTGAAGAAAACTTTCGCAACGGCTCTGAGCACCAAGTTCCTTTCCTTC